GATCACTGTGGATATTGTCTAAAACATTTGCAACTGAATAGTCCAGTTTTTCCCTTTTTCGACTGACACTATTTAGTCTAATCTGATGAAAATGTTCAGGAGGGTTTCTTTCTTGTTGCTTGTAGTTGAACTTTGATGGTTTGCCATTCTGCGAGCAGTTTAGTTGCAATTGTTGTTTGCTGTAACGGTTTTGGTTAATGATTTCTGTCCATCTTTTGATGTTACAGTCCGATTCTTTGCCTTTGAATGTGAACCATCTTGCATGATCATAGTCTGATTGATACTGCTTTAGTTGCTTCTTATAGTTTATTTTATTTGTGTGATTACCTGATGTTTTATTGACTTCACTGTTATAAATCGAGGGAAAAAAGAAGAAAAGAACAAATAAAAGTAAACAAGAAATTACAGTTTCGCCAAGTTCTGAATTTCTAATTCCTAATTTTTCTGATGGACAAATGAGCTGATTTAATTGTTCAGTTTGCTTTTTTGTACCTCTAGTTCACACACCAAGCTGTTGTTTATAAAACTTGTAACTGAGGAAAGGGTCAAAATGTTCATTCATCAGTAAAAAATAAATAATGGAAACAGTTAAAATCTGGTCTAGTACAACAGCAAAATTTGACATGTATCACAGTCTCAAGTTTTGGCTACCATTATCAATGTTTAAAACTCCCCTTTGACTTATAAAACTATATAACAAAAGAATTCATCTCCACAGTTCGCGCTTTGACTTATCAAATAATAGAAGAGGCTGCATCTTTAGTCGAAAATATCCACTATTGTAACTTTGTTCAAACTAACCAAAACTAAAGCTACTTATAAAACTAATAGAACAAATGAAGACTAACACATGTTTTAACCAATGAAATTTGTTCAACTGTGCACTTCAGCTGTAGTATAAATGAAACACAAAAATATTATCATTTCTAATTTTATAATTGTGTGCCCAATGGACTCATAAAATAAGAAAGAATACTTTAGTAGGTCTTGGGATAGTCGTTGAAGTACAAGGTGTCCCATAAGTTTCCACACATAGAACAACAAAAAACATATCAACGCCATTTCAAGCATAACTTCAGCTGTGCTTGTACGTGTTCTTCAGCAATGGAGGACATGCATCGCAATGTATTTTCAAAACAGTTGTTGATCATTTATACAAAGAAAAATTGTGTTTCATAAAGTTGTTTTTTCTATTTTGCCTGTGATGAGAACTTAATGGGACACCCTGTAAATTTTCCTGCCGGACGTAGATGAAGAAGACTAAGGCCTGCAATTGTGGGAGAAATCTCACCCACTTTTTACTACGGAGGAATACTCTGTGAAATATTTTACTTGTTGACAAGTTTCAGTCAAGCAGTAAAGATAATGTCTGTGGACATTAATGACAAGTGACAATTTATTGATTTGGCTAGCCTGTTAGGTTTACCTGGCCAACATCCTTTGAAAAAATAGTCACACGTGATCCTAATTATTGAATCAATTTTTACTCCGTAGTATCCCGGTGTGAATTATTTATTCAGTAAGGTTTGTTTCCACAAATGCACATATTCTTCTTCTTTGATGAAGAGCTTGAAAATTATTTGGTTGTTTTCTTTGTCAGTACCTGTAAAACAATATGCTTCATATGCTGATGCGATTTGCTTTTGTAGGCATCTTGTGCAAATTTAAGAAAAACACTTTCTTGTTTTTATTCGGTCTTCAGAAATATTAATACTTCATTCACATACATTCATTATTGGCAAAATGAATCAATATATATGACATGTTTGAAAGTAGAAGATTTCAAAGGTATTATGACAAGAATTAATTCTTTGTAGCTTTCTAAAAAAAAAAAAAATAACAAAGCAAACAGATGTTTACCAAGAGATGCACATAATTTTATTTATTCCACTTATTTGCTCCTGTCGAATGACACAAATGATCAGAAGACTTTGTGGCACGCTGGTGTAAAGGAGGCCTAGTTTCTCTGTTGTTAATTTGGGTTATTTATACCAGCGTGTTAGTTTGCCTGTAAGAGTCATGGCAGACGGAACTTTGAGGGAAAGCAGTAAATTGTAAAACTGCAGTTCTAAACCTATCATTTTAGAGGTGACTAAAGGCTGAGTTGGCTATTATTTGCAATGAAAAGATTTAACTGCAAAAGCCAACCATTGTCCTGTTGTGCTGTTACATGTCACATAGGGCTCACTGTACATGTCACATAGGGCTCACTGTACATGTCACATAGGGCTCACTATACATGTCACATAGGGCTCACTGTCTGTTTATCCATTGTGTTCTATCCTGTGTAGTCACCAGCTGTGAACAAGTATACAAGTGACAGAAGAATTATATGGCCAACATTGATAGTCCATGACTCCACAGTATATAACATTTTCAGATATACATAATCTGTGACTCCGTACTATATAGCATATTAGGATATACATGGTCCATGACTCTGTACTGTCTAACATTAGGATATACATGGTCCATGACTCTGTACTGTCTAACATATTAGGATATACATGGTCCATGACTCTGTACTGTCTAACATATTAGGATATACCTAGTCCATGACTCCGCACCATATTATATTAGGATATACCTAGTCCATGACTCCGCACCATATTCTTCTTTTTCTGTTTTTGTTCTGAAAAAGTGCAAATGGCATGTTGTGGTTTACAGCTTGTCTGCAATTTCTGCATCTTTCAATAAAGCAGATTCGATTTCATCAATTCCTCATTAGTCAACTTTTACATTATGCTTATTAAGGGACAGTGGGTCTGTTCTGTTTCCCCATAAACTCGGGCCTTGCAACTCACATGGGTCCTACAACCCACATGGGGCCCTACAACTCACATGGGGCCCTGCAACCCACACGGGGGACACCATCTAGCATTGCCAGATATACACTGTCATGAGTGTGTACTAGATAACAATGCCAAGTTCACATAGCACTGGGTGACTCAAAGTTTTAACCAGTCAGACAAATATTTGTTTGATTCACTTTTTCCTACAACTTACACAGAGTTCGTGTCTGGTTGTCAGTTCTGTGTAGGCTAATTTATTGACCTAGTATTTTAAAATAGTCTTTCGTTGCGAGATACTTTCCTGCATGAGAAAGATAAAAATAATCCCACGGCACATGGTAGCGGTTCTCGGTCACCTGTGCATTTATCAGAACAGTGGTTCTCAATTAGATCAGACCCATGGACACACTCTTAACTTTAAATTATTTGCCACGGACTCCCAGACTTGTAACATTGTCATATTAGTAGTGAATCAAGAATTGGCATTGCTGCACTTAGGACATTCCCACGTGTGCTCAGTAGCCAACAAAAAGTCTAACAGTACCTGTTTGCAAAACTCATTAAAGGAATGTCTGTTACCATTCAGGATTGACTATCTTCCAGAACCTGTGGTCTCTCCCCCTCCTTCCTCTCTTTCCCGGCGTTAAATTAGTCTTTCAGTGAATGGATTCTCTGTTCAATTGCACTGTCCATATGATCACAGACAACCTTCACCACGTCTGCTTTATCATAAAGTAGCTTGCCACCAGAGAGTTGACGGCAGCCAATCTATCACCTACTCATAAAAAAGTATATCTGTTAAAAAATAATAAAAAAAATTAACAGGGCTGTAGTTTTGTCCTTTAACTGATGTCTTCTCCTTCTTCTTCTTCTGCCTTTTTAACCCCAAATGGAGCATAGGCCCTCAACCAACTCACGCCAAGTCGTTCTATTCTTCGCTATTTTATGCAGCTCTTCCCGTGTCCTCCCCATATTTTTAACTTCACTCTCTAGCTCCCCTCACCATGTGTTTTATGGTCTTCCTTTATTCCTATGCCCCTGTGGGTTCCATGCAAAGACATTCTAGCTATATTGTTCTCAGGTTTTCTCATCATGTGTCCTATCCAACACCAGCATCTTTTTTTCATCTTTTTTCCACTGGAACTTGCTAACTGACATCACAGATCCCTTAAACTGTTTATGAACCACCTAATGGGAGCAACTATAGTGGGACACAGAATTGTGGAGTTCGTAGATCAATGTTCAATATTGCACTTCACAGGATGAACATTTTTATAGCTATGCTTATAAAGATTTTCTGGAACTTTCTTGTTTTATTTTACTTCATCTTAAGGAAATTTTTTTAAAATTTGCAAATGTATAGAAATGTTAAGTTATGTGGTTATGATTTTATGTTCCAGTTTCTGATAATCATCGTTAGGATGGTTAGGGAAACAGGAACATTTTGTGACCAATGGAAAGATTTATGGAAGGAGAGACAGAGGAAGACAGCATGAGAAGATTCTTGACAACCTTTTTGTCATGCATGGAGGGTGTTACACATGAACTGATACATGCAGCTGTAGACTGCAGTTTGTGGAGAGGCATGATGGCCCATGCCAGTCGACAAAGCACTTGATAATGGCGATGTTTATGATATATGGTGATCAGATCCCTCCAACCATTTGTCAGGAAAATTGCTGATACCTGTTTTACAGAGCCTGATAGAATGTGTTTTAGGGCTTAAAGAACAGTAATACAGTGGAACTCCAATATTCACCATTAATCTGCCCCTGAAGGGAGGATGAATATTGAAAAAGATGAATGTCAAATGAATTGTTTCTATAGGAAATAACCAAAAATAGTTTTATCTGTTCCCAGTCCCGAATCCTAAGTAATGTTATCAATTTTCTTTTTCTGTCGAGGACAAAAATAATATCCTAACCTGCAGCGTCTGTGCTGATGGCACTATTTCTGCAGCCTTAAATCCTTGGGCTATAACAAACACTAAAATACATGTTAATACCGCTGTGACAGAGTTATTGTCTAATATTTGTTGATGCCACTAGCTCTGCGGCCTTGAATTCTCAGGCTAAAACAAACACTAAAATACATGTTAACACCGCTGTGACAGAGTTATTGTCTAATATTTCCCATGCTGTGTGGTCTGTCACTGTTATCATGATTCATTGGGTTAATATGAATCTCTTATGACCTCCAGCTGTGACTATGGCCAAGAGAATACTGATCACTGGTGCTTCTGGACTGCTTGGGAGAGCCTTCCTGGCAACTTTTTCTGCTGATTCAGAATGGGAAACCCTAGGGCTGGCATTTTCCCGTGCTGGTGACAGACTGAAGAAGGTCGACCTCACAGACCCAGACCAGGTGGCAGCAGTTGTTAGAGAGTTTAAGGTATAGTATAGTTTCACATCTCTTTGTCAGTATAGAAGTTCTTTAATGTCATCTTCTCCTAGAGAGTTTAAGGTAAAGTATAGTTTCACATCTCTTTGTCAGTATAGAAGTTCTTTAATGTCATCTTCTCCTAGAGAGTTTCTGGTATAGTATAGTTTCACATCTCTTTGTCAATGTAGGTCTTTAATGTCATCAGCCTATCTTCTCCTAGAGAGTTTAAGGTATAGTATAGTTTCACATCTCTTTGTCAGTATAGAAGTTCTTTAATGTCATCTTCTCCTAGAGAGTTTCTGGTATAGTATAGTTTCACATCTCTTTGTCAATGTAGGTCTTTAATGTCATCAGCCTATCTTCTCCTAGAGAGTTTAAGGTATAGTATAATTTCACATCTCTTTGTCAATGTAGGTCTTTAATGTCATCAGTCTATTTCTCTTAAAGAGTTTAAGGTATAGTATAGTTTCACGTCTCTTTGTCAATGTAGGTCTTTAATGTCATCAGTCTATTTCTCTTAGAGAGTTTAAGGTATAGTATAGTTTCACATCTCTTTGTCAATGTAGAAGGTCTCTAATGTCATCAGCCCATCTTCTTCTAGGGCAACCTCTTGCTGGCACATCAGATCTTTTGATGTATAGCACCTATGTTGGTAGTTATTGTGGCTGCATTTTAATGAGATGACCAAATATTTGATCTTCTTTGTTGTTTGCTTTTCAAGTGTGTTTGGTGAGTTTTTGGTCTCTTTTTAGTGCTGTTAGAATCACACTTTTTGCCTAATTATTTCCATAATTCTTAAGAGAACAGTGAACTAACATATGGGGTAGATAGAGATAGTAAACTAAGAGTGCAAAGGACACATGAGTTTTCATATCACCAGGTCCCTGTGTTGGATTGGCTTTTTACCCCACCAGGACATCACACAAGCGATAAACACCCGATGACACAAAGTGCCACCATGCGGATGAGGATCACCGTGGAGAGGTCCCAGAAACCGCGTTCAGACATTTGGCCATTTTTATGGCCTGCCTATATTGCGACCCCTGGCAAAAGCCAGAGTGGGGCTTCAAATAACAAAAAATTACGTCCTGAAAAGGACGTAAGGATTATCGGAAGGGATAATACAGGTCCCTGTGTTACTTCCATGTCAGATAGAGAGTAGCATCCCTTAAGAACTGCATGGTGGATATGAAAGTAGCATCCCTTGAGACTTACATGATAGACAGGAGAGTAGCATCCCTTGAGAACTGCATGGTCGATAGGAGAGTAGCATCCCTTGGGAACTGCATGGCAGATAGGAGAGTAGCATCCCTTGAGAACTGCATGGTAGATAGGAGAGTAGCATCCCTTGAGAACTGCATGGCAGATAGGAGAGTAGCATCCCTTGAGAACTGCATGGTAGATAGGAGAGTAGCATCCCTTGAGAACTGCATGGCAGATAGAATAGCATCCCTTGGGAACTGCATGGCAGATAGGAGATTATCATCACTTGAGAACTGCATGGCAGATAGGAGAATAGCATCATTTGAGAACTGCATGGCAGATAGGAGAGTAGCATCCCTTGAGAACTGCATGGCAGATAGGAGATTATCATCACTTGAGAACTGCATGGCAGATAGGAGAGTAGCATCCCTTGAGAACTGCATGGCAGATAGGAGAGTAGCATCCCTTGAGAACTGCATGGCAGATAGGAGAGTAGCATCCCTTGAGAACTGCATGGCAGATAGGAGAGTAGCATCCCTTGAGAACTGCATGGCAGATAGGGGAATAGCATCCCTTGAGAACTGCATGGCAGATAGGAGAGTAGCATCACTTGGGAACTGCATGGCAGATAGGAGAGTAGCATCCCTTGGGAACTGCATGGCAGATAGGAGAGTAGCATCCCTTGAGAACTGCATGGCAGATAGGAGAGTAGCATCCCTTGAGAACTACATGGTAGATAGGGGAATAGCATCCCTTGGAAACTGCATGGCAGATAGGAGAGTAGCATCCCTTGAGAACTGCATAGTTAGGAGATTATCATCACTTGAGAACTACATGGTGATGGAACCCTGTGATTCTTTGTGGGTAGTACTTCCTCACTCCTTTTTTGCTTTTACTTGTAAACACACATGCACAAACACCTTTATACACTCATGCACTTATACATACACAAGCACATATCCATATACAAACGTACATCCACACACACATGAACTCTCATGCATGCATACAGAGAGAGAGAGAGAGAGATAAAGAGGGATGAGGTCATCACATAATACTGAAAGTTAATTGGTAAGGAATCCCTGAAGGATTATCACATCACTATTTCTTTGTGGTGCTTATCATGTCAGTCAGTATTTGTGGTGAGTACATTACAGTTGAAGAGTAGACTTTAGTAGGTTAATGGTACTGGGCTGATAGTTTGTATACAGTTGCAGAGTAGACTTGAGTGGGTTTAGGGTACTGAGCCGATAGTTTGTGTACAGTTGTAGAGTAGACTTGAGTGGGTTTAGGGTACTGAGCCGATAGTTTGTATAGAGTTGTAGAGTAGACTTGAGTGGGTTTAGGGTACTGAGCCGATAGTTTGTATACAGTTGTAGAGTAGACTTGAGTGGATAGTTTGTATACAGTGGTACTGAGCCGAGTTTGTAGTTGTGACTTGAGGTGGGTACAGTTGTAGAGTAGACAGTGAGAGTAGGTGTTTTAGGGTACTGGGCTGATAGTTTGTATACAGTTGTAGAGTAGACTTGAGTGGGTTTATGGTACTGGGCTGATAGTTTGTATACAGTTGTAGAGTAGACTTGAGTGGGTTTATGGTACTGGGCTGATAGTTTGTATACAGTTGTAGCTGCATTTTTGTTGAGTACTTGGAGAACGGCAGTAGCAGAGAGTTTGTATACAGTTGTAGAGTAGACTTGAGTGGGTTAAAGAAATGAAAGCATTTTCTCTCATGGGTCTTCTTCTTCTGTTCGTTCTCCCTGCCTGTGGTTTTTAGATGCTTGACTGCCACTGTGTGTTATTTTCTACTTCTGTTTGTTCTCCCTGCCTGTAGTTTTTAGATGCCTGTCTTCCACTGTTCCACACATGCTCCTCTGAATGTGGTAGAAAGATTCCAGGTTTCACTGGTGGACATTCCTATGGGAGCTTGATTTTAATGAAAGCTCACTTTTTTTATTCCAAGCTTGATTGTTTTGTTCATAAAACAATCTGGTTGTGGTCTGATTTGTACAAGTGCACGTTAATTGCACAGTGTAACCGCTATAGTGCTCCATTTTCCTTCCATTGATTAGACAAGAACTTCATCACTGTGCACAAACTCTGTAGCATTGGCCAGGAGTCGGGTGTGTGCATGTGTCATAAACTATTTACATTAGCAGTGAGCATGGCCAAGAAACAGGAAACCACTCTGGTACAAGGGCTGGCATATCTACTTATTGGTTTAGTAGTAAAAGTAAAATAAAAGACCCTTTTCCATGCCTTTAGGCAAATAGGGCTAGACCTATATTTTAAAGCCAGCAAATTTATCATAAGTATGTTCTTTACAATAATGGAGGGGTATATGCCTGGGAAGAGAGGAAGAGGAAGGCCAAGGAGAAGATGGGTGCAGGATGTGGCAGATGATCTCCAGAAGATGGGTGTATCAGACGCAGGACATCTTGCTCAGGATAGGAAGGTTTTCCGGAGGGTTGTTATGGCAGCGAGGTTCCGCGAGGGACATGCTACTGAATGAATGAATGTTCTTTACTGAGTTTTGTTACTTTGACTTTACTATATCTTTACTTACTGTTGTGGTTTAGCAGCTATATATTCACGTGTGGATCCAAATGTTGTATATTTAAATCCAAATGGAGCTGGACATTTTTCAGAAGTCATCTTGGCTCGCAGGTCGACGCAGCGTTAAATAGGTACCAGATATAGTCCTAGGAAGTAAAGGCGGCCGGCATGATATTGACCATATCACCCACCAATTGCTGATTGGTTTATAAAATATATGTTGAGCACTATATGCCCAATATGTCTGCAGACGTTGAAAATCGGTCTTCGCGTGTTTTTGTTAATTTTATCGTCTCTTTGTGATTTCACATAATGTAACTAACCTTTTAAAATGTGATTACAGATGAAGTCGGAGCATACATCTTGTTCATTAGTACAGATTATGTCTTTGATGGGACCAAACCTCCCTATAAGCCAGGAGACAAACCAAGCCCACTTAACAAATATGGACTGAGCAAGGCTGCCGGAGAGAAAGTGGTTACCGAGTCCAGTCCGGGTGAGATAGACTGTGTAGCAGTTTAAAGAAGACCCTTAGGTCAGCTATCCTCCTCCTCCTTCTTCACGTTCACTGGCTGTAAACTCCAGTGAAAAGTTCTGGTTGTTCATTCATTTCTCGACTTTAGTCTTGTTCCAGAATCTGAGTATTGTGCGCACATCTGTTTGACAGATCTGGCTTATTTGTATGCAGACTGTTGGTGCCTTGCTTCTCAGTCAGGCGGATGCACTGCGACTTCAGATGAAGCTCCCAATTTGTTCACTCATACAACATGCTTTTCTGGGAAGGCAGCAGGCCTTATTTTTCCCATAATAGGACCCCGGAACCCACAGGGGAGTCAGGTAAACTGAAATGGGTCTTAAACATTGCACTGTGTGGGGGTCTAGATGAGAAGGGTCAAAATTCCTCGTCCGGATTCCGGGGCCCCATTGTGGGTGGCAGGGGGAGTGGGGGGGGGGTGTGGAGAATACTGCCCCCTGATAAGTTTGATGTAAGAGTTGACTAGAGATTTTTCCTTCAAAGTCAGAGTGAGTTTGCCTGAGAGAACCAACAGTCTTGCGTACAAATAATCCAGATCTGTAAAATGGAAGTGCATGCAAAACTCAGGTTCTGGAACAAGACCAAAGTCCAGGGTGGATGAACAACCAGAACTTTCCGCTGGAGTTTACAGCCAGTAAACGTGAAGAAGATGAAAAGGTTCAGTTTCAGAGGATCTGCCTCGATGCGCAGAGTTTTACCTGAGATAACTTGGTCTCTCAGTAAAAGTTCTACCTGCCCGCTAAGAGGTGTGTAACACTCTGCAGCTCCAGTGATGTTCCCAAGTGTTCATTAAAAATAGGACCTGTGAACCTAGTGATGCAGACATGTGAACCTAGTGATGCAGACATGTGAACCCGTGATCTGCAGAGCGTTAGGTAGAACAGTAAACCACTTCACCAGGAGAACCACAGGTCTGAAGCACCAACAGCTCAACTTCACCTAGGTCTAAAGCACCAACAGCTTAACTTCACTTGGAGAACCCCAGGTCAAAAGCACCAACAACTTAACTTCACTTGGAGAACCCCAGGTCTGAAGCACCAACAACTTAACTTCACCTGGTTCTGAAGCACCAACAGCTTAACTTCACTTGGAGAACCCCAGGTCTGAAGCACGAACAACTTAACTTCACCTGGGTCTAAAGCACCAACAGCTTAACTTCACTTGGAGAACCCCAGGTCTGAAGCACCAACAACTTAACTTCACCTGGGTCTGAAGCACAAACAGAGAACCATTTAATTCAGTTCAGTTGAAACACATTAAGACTATAGACTGGTGGAACTTTGTTAAGTCCTAAATAAAACAATAATATGTATTGTGAAATGAATTGTCATTACCATGGTGTGTGAATTACTGTGTATACACCCCTAGCAGAAACACTGTTCTCATTCATTATGTTTATGTCATGTTGAAATGAATTTCTGATGCCAGACTGTTTGTATTGGCACTTCTGACAGCTGCCTTATGCATTTAATGCATGTGCATGCTACTGGCTTTGCTGAGACTGCAGTCTGTGTCAGTCTGGTTTTCTTGGCACGGGAGTAGTCTCCCATTTGATGTGTGATCTCTGTTGTGAAGCTGGAATTGCAGTTACCTAATATTTAGATAAAACTCGTCTGTTTGACTGTGACTGGTTGGACTGCACATGACTCAGAAAAATCTCTGCTTGAAGTTTCTCCATCTTGAGGCACACAAGAGTTCTTTCTATTATGTTTTCTTTATTTGATCAGTCTCTTTTAGCATAGGAAATATTTGTGAATGTCGATCCCTACTTTACTGCTGACTGATATTTTCCTCTAGTTCTGTGCAAAAACTAGTCATCTCCTTATGAGATGCAATTTTTCGTTGTTTTGAAGCCCCACCCTGGCTCTTGCCGGAGGCCTCATTATAGCCAGGCCATAAATGGAGCTTAATGGCTGAACACGGTTATCAGGACCTCTCCACGGTGATCCTCATCCACATGGTGGCACTTTGTGTCATCAGGTGTTTATGGCTTGTATGATGTCCTAGTGGGGTAAAATCTACTAATACTACTACTAGTTGCTATTGAGTTTAAATGCTTAAGAAATAACTTGTCTATTTAAATAGTAAATTTAAATATCTAGGCACATGGATAACATCTGACAGATGATGTATCACAGAGATAAAGTAGAGAATAGGACAGAATATAATTGCATTTTATAACGTGCAATATCCATGCCACTGGAGGTTAGAAAAAAGGATTCTTGCATACGATATTGAGCCAGTTTTAACATATGGGATATGAACCCTGGAAAATTAATAAAATAAGCCAAACAATTTCTTTAGGGCTTGGAGATGTGGTTTTACCGAAGAATCGTTTGAATCGCTTGGACAGGCCAAAGAGAACAACCTGGGTGTTTTGAAAGAGGCGAGGGTGGTAAGACAACTTATCACAAACAGAGATGGTCATAATTTGTATTGATGTTGTGATTTCTGGAAAGATCTGTGGTAAAAGAACAGAGAAAGACAACATGAGATGATTCCTGACAGCTTTTTGTTGTAGTATGGAGGGGTGTCAGCGTATGCTGGTGAAGATCACAGATTGTGAAGAGGCATGATCGACCACGTGGGTCGGCAAGGCTGTTGATGATTTAAATGCCGTTTTGAAGGCAGGTCCTACAGTGGGAACACCTTTAGTTAATAACTTGGTCATGAATCAAAAAGTCCGATCTCTCTTCCACTGGTGCCTGTAGGTTTTACATTGTTCATCTGCAGGAAATATTGTCCTGAGAGTTCCCATTCTCTATGGAATGGTGGAGAATCTTGATGAAAGTGCTGTGACCATGCTGTTCAGTAAAGTCAAGGATGTTGGCAAACCTGCAGAGATGAACCATTACGAGAGACGATATCCCACTTTATGTTCGGACGTGGCTGATGCTGTCAGGGTCCTTGTTAACAGCAGAGTCAAGGTAAAGTTTGTGACTTTCTTCTTATGTCTTCATGCCATAATGAATAGTTTTCTTTCATTTACTTCAGTCTCTCTTCCCATTATTTTTTTTTCTTCTTCACTGTCTCTTTCATTGCTTTGAGTGTTGACGGAGATTCGGATTCTGCTTTTTTTTTTTTTTTTGCTGCCTTAACCATAGGTTGTATGAGTTTCTCTGATGTTATTTTTCCATTTCTTCTTGGTCTACCTCATGCTCTGCACCTCTGTCCTCTTTTGTTGTATATTTGGTATGGTATAGAATCACAGAGTATTCTCTCTAACTCAAAGTTTACACTACATAGGTATGGATTGATTGTGAGTGTAAGCTCCTTTGGGAGATGACAGACGGCAGCAAACAAACAATCTTCCCCGTTGTCCCTTAAAAGATTAAAGGTAGGAGGATTGACATTGCACTGGGCTTCATCACATATGGCTCAGTCTCCCTCCACAGAACAGCTAGTCACCTGCCGATAGCATTGCACAAAGCATGAACACACAAGCTCCTGCAACGGTCCCCAGGGATCTAGTAAAAATTTAACTTGTGAACTGAATGGCAGTCGTGAAATGAACAGTGACCTTCAGAGCATTAGGCAGACAACTTGACCATGGAGACTGACCACTTCCCTCATCCATGTTTTCTTTACTCTTTATGTCGTCATTAGATCTTAGGTCATTGACTGTCAGTCAGTTATTTCTTGTGCCATTTCCGTGTTGCTTCAGAGCGCTGATCTGACTGGTATCTTCCATTGGAGCGGAGATGAAATGATGACAAAATACAACATGGCCGTCACTATGGCAGAACTGTTTGGAATCCCTACCCAGCACATAATTGCCGACACCAAGCCAGCAACTGGAGCACCGCGCCCCTTCGACTGCCACCTGGATTGTTCTAGGATGGAAGAGCTCGGAGCCACTAAACGCACACCGTTTAAAGTTGGCATCAAACCGGTGTTAGAAAGATTTTACCCTTAAATTCTATAGAAGCTGTTACATTACTGATGTTGTTGTAGTAATGATTATGTTCTATATGCAGTTTGTAATGCATCCTCAAGGAAATGTGTTCGCTATTATTTTTTTGTTTTGTTATATGCAGTTTGGCACAGATTCTCAAGGAACTGTATTAGCGATTTATACGCAACTTGTTCATGCATTCTCATATATACATATATTGGTTTGTTATTATCATACATATGATGTTGGGGTTGTAATTAATATGATTGTGGGTTATATATACAATAAAGATTATTTTTTTAAATGAAACTTTCATTTTACAGTACAGTGTATTTAAAATGTCCATTCTTGTTTGTAAATAAATTAGTTTTAATGTTTGTGATGCCCGTCTCTCTAGTGTAGTTGGCTAAACCGGATTGCGTGGTGACGAACTCCTTGTGGTCCAGGTTCACTCCCGGGGGTAGGCAAAAGTCACATTTCTCCAAAATTTACGGTATTTACAATGGAATCAAGGCTGAAAGGTTGCGATATCCATAATACCGAGCCTAAGGGTGAACAACTCATGGCTTCTGGATACTAAAACAAACAATGTTTGTGATGAGACTCAAGACACAAAGAACTCAACAAATTATGTTTTGTTACGAATTCATCAATTCAGTTCTTCCCAGTATGTTTCTTCTGAGTGCATTTACATGCACACACAGTTCCTTCTTATCTTGTAGTTGTTTCTTCTTCTGGGTTCTGGGTTGGGAGTCAATTAGCAATGAAATGCTATCAACATCCGGAGGCAACATGACCAACCTTGACCTTCTCCCAGCCTGCTTGTATATGTTAGTTTATCTCAATATCCTTCAACAGATATGAAGTTTCAGTACAAGTCTTGCACAAACTTTGGAGAAGGGAAGAAAAACTTTGCAACCCCATTCTCCATGGAGAAGGGAAGATAAGCTTTGCAACACAGTCTCCATGGAAAAGATGCAAGTGCTTTTCTGGGTTGAAATGGTCTGAACATAATCACAGAACTTGAAGCGTTACAACTTAATCTTCCAGCTAGCCAATCAATGAATAACTCACATGTTTGTCATAAAAATCAAATTTGGGACAAATTCTCATGTAATTTCAAAACAGTACACAAAATTATCTCGACAACCAACAACAATGAAGTTATCAACAACAACGGGTGATGAGAAGATTTCACCCGGCAGTCTGACCTCTGCCTGAACTTGTCCGTCATTGTAATTTAACACATAAAGAACCCCTTTAGTTTCTGCGATCACAACCCTGGAACATAGTTGTTGCTGCACATGATGTGAGGAGTGCTTTTAAAGTGCTGTTTTCAAGTGGCGGATCTGTACAAGGGTACTGGTCATTTTCTGTGGACGTGGTCAGCGCAGAAGCAAAGGCAGTGGCATACACAGGAGAGCTGGCTTGAAATGTCCACGTCTGCTGTCCAGAGTCAGTGAGACAGTAGACATGATGATCATGTGACCCCAAGACGATTGATGATTTATGTACAACTGGTGTTGAGAAAACTGGGGCTTTAGTTGAAAATGTCCATTCCTGGAAACAGAAAACACAAATTTATAAATGAAAAAGTGTGCGGTGGTGGAATATTCTTCTTTTGTCCTACTGCCTATGCTGTAAAACAGCGTAGAGAGGAGTTAGACATAGTCTCCTGTCTTTTGCTAGATGCATTGCTTGTGTTAATGTCACACTGTGTTTCTGTTGTGTCTCTGTGACAATGGTGATGCTCTATACCCCTCTAGAATTTGTTGAAATGTCTGTTTTTCATTCCTTAATTTAGTAGCACTATTCTTTAGGTCTGACAGCTTCTTCAGCATGCTTTGTTCCAAAAGTGCTGGTGTAACATTTCCTTGGAGTAAACAAGGCAGGTCGAGAGAGGGATCATGATGCAGGGGCAACATATGGTCTCTACAATACTGCCCAGGCTTTGTGCTATGCAGAGGAGGAACTTTATTGCCCTGGGTTGCGGGTCCCATGCCTCCTCATGGTACAATATAACACTATTGTCTGCAAGGACCCAAAGATATCAATGCTGGTATATATCATTTGTATACACAGAAACAAACATGCAGACACAAACTTACCTTATGCCCCAGTGAATTAAGAGAGTACAAGTTTCCATCAACACAACCAATCAGGAGGGAGTGACCAATTAGAGATAATGATGAGAACACTGGCTTCTGGAGGTCATAGACCCATCTGACTGTACCAGAATCCTGAAAGTGAATCCAGATTCAACCATTTGTGGATAATATCAAATCTCACTTATAGTTCATATTAGAGATCATTTCCATCGCACGTCAGATATGACCATAAGTGCTCCGATCTCCTCCTGAGTATGTCTCTAAGTGTTTTTAGGTTAACTCCCATTCTGTTCTGGTTGATGTAACGACGGGTGGCTTTCCCATGGTTTTCTCTCGTGGCTCCAATTGGTACACCCATGATATGCAGTCTATTGAGTGAAAAATCATTTTCCACGAAAACGAAAGCCTCACAGCGTTTAGTCTCTCATATGGCATCGATGTCTCTCCTGTCCATAGAGGGCCCATTCTTGATAGTCGCACTGCCACCCAGAGCGTCTGCTCTTTCATTGCCTTTCACACCAGTATACCCTCGGACAAAAATTTAAAAGATTTTGCAAACCATGCTGACATGCAGTCTCCGTATTGCCTGATTTTCAAAGCATTCATTGAGTTGCTGAGCAGGCAAGCATTGGGGAACTTCTGAGTTTTCAGCCGTGCTAGGGCCGTAGTCAAAGCCACGACCTCCACTGTCATGCTGTTGGTTGTTGAAGCAAAGGCTCCACTGTCTTCTGTAATGACTTTCCCTTTGGATCTTGCCGTAAAAGCCCATGCACTCGCTTCTTCTGTATGTATATAATATCAACTATAAAATCACGTCAATTATAATAACCACCAACAAAGTACGGCTGTATTCATGAATCCTGGTTTAAAGAAATCACCTTAAAGTACTTTCCAACCAAGATCGCCCTGTGAAGATTGTTGCAATGTTTTAGTTCATCGCTAAACTTTAAATATTATAATCGCTGTCATGTAATTGAATCAAAGATCAGTTACATCGTAAACAATGTTCACTAAACTTTAAACCACATCGCTGTCATGTGAACAAACTACACTAACAGATGCATCTAATAATAAACATTGGAAGCACACAAAAGTCTACACAAACTAAGGTAACATAAAATATTTACCTGCGACTGCCATAAGCAAAACGTTGTCCTTCACTTTCAGAAAGTTGCTGAAGTTACTTTCAGTTAACTTCACTTTCACTTGGAACAAATATTCAAAAAATCACCTATGGCACCAGAAATGTTCCCAAAATTATTGCCACCACGCTGGCTCTGATGATTGGCCACCGTATCAAAACATCCACCTAACGCAGCATCAACATGGGAGCCCACTAATTTTTTTGTAAAAAATGACACAAACATACTTCAAGCATTAGAGAACTATTTCCTTTAAAAATGCATAGAGAAATTAATAGACTAAGAGCTTCAAGCTACATTTATCGATTTTCGAACCTCGGCAAGGGTCCAAAGCGTAAGTCATTGGCCAATCGCATAACGTACAATCGTGGTAGTCAGTGGCTTAACTCTTCTACTCTAGACAAGCATTACCCAAACCCCTCACCTCACCTAGACAGTTACTTCAAAGCAGCAAATCTCTGACACACACAGAGTTTAACAAAAAGATATAAACAGCAACTGGCTGACATAGATAGAGTTTAACAAAAAGATATAAACAGCAACTGTCTGACATAGATAGAGTTTAACAAAAAGATATAAACAGCAACTGTCTGACATAGATAGAGTTTAACAAAAAGATATAAACAACTGTCTGACATAGAGTTTAACAAAAAGATATAAACAACAACTGTCTGACATAGATAGAGTTTAACAAAAAGATATAAACAGCAACTGTCTGACATAGAGTTTAACAAAAAGATATAAACAGCAACTGTCTGACATAGACAGAGTTTAACAAAAAGATATAAACAGCAACTGTCTGACATAGAGTTTAACAAAAAGATATAAACAGCAACTGTCTGACATAGATAGAGTTTAACAAAAAGATATAAACAGCAACTGTCTGACATAGAGTTTAACAAAAAGATATAAACAGCAACTGTCTGACATAGATAGAGTTTAACAAAAAGATATAAACAGCAACTGTCTGACATAGATAAGAGTTTAACAAAAAGATATAAACAGCAACTGTCTGACATAGATAGAGTTTAACAAAAAGATATAAACAGCAACTGTCTGACATAGATAGAGTTTAACAAAAAGTTATAAACAGCAACTGTCTGACATAGATAGAGTTTAACAAAAAGATATAAACAGCAACTGTCTGACATAGATAGAGTTTAACAAAAAGATATAAACAGCAACTGTCTGACATAGATAAGAGTTTAAACAAAAAGATATAAACAGCAACTGTCTGACATAGATAGAGTTTAAAAAAAAGATATAAACAACATAACAATCGACTTACAGCACAGATGGCCAGGACTGTTCCTGCCAGTGAGGCAGCATACACCAGGCGTGCTGCCGTGTCAACGACAGGAGAAGAAAACACGCTACCTCCTCCCAAATGGCACTTCCACACACACAGTTTTTCCTGAAAATGTTCAAATAAGATCAGATCTTTACCAGAATCTGCAACATCATCAGCAATGGAATGATTAACAATGAGAAAGATCTGCTGACTGAAAGATTGTGTGTGTTGTGTTCTACAATTTGGATTGTTCATGTTGGAGAAGGAGCTGTGACATGGCGGAAACTTGGACTTTGAAAATGTAGAGAATATTGTGGACAGAACAGAAAATATTACGGTATTCACAAAATATCAATAATGACAACAATAAATACAGGAGTGCTGTGACAAACTCTGAAACAATTACTGGTACTACGAGGCTGACAAACTACAATAGTTGGGGCATATATTGAGAGTGGAGGATGACAGAGACAAACACTATGTATTCAATGGGAGCGGTCCATGAGGCAGATCAAGAAGACAGTGTATAGATAACATACATGCACACCTACAGATGTTTAGAGTCACCAACTGGAAAGAAAAGGCCAAAGACAGAGATGATAGGAGGCGGGTAATATATCTTCAGCAATTAATCCTAAGGGCTCTGAATGCTGAAAAAGACGAAGGTACTGACAATCTGAGACTTTGTTAGATAACATATCAAAACCACTAGAAAAAACAAATCTAATTTATGGGACATATTAACAGGAAAAAGTGGAATATTTACACTCAACACAATTATGGCAAGATGGAAAAGTATATATTAAGTCTTGATCAACTCCTTGAAGAATTAGGTTCAGATTTGACCAGCTCTTGGAAGGATAGGGCTATTTAGGATTTGACAAGCTCTTGATAGGACTGCAAATGTTTGATGAGAGGGGAGACAGTGTGCGTGTGCATGCGTACGTACGTGTGAGTGTGTGTGTGTGAGAGAGAGAAAAAGAGAGAGAGAGACTTGCCCCGAATCTTGGAATCCAAGGACCACACTATGACTTTTCAGTTATAGATTACAAACATGCCCAGAACAAAACTAGCTACAACATTCGGCTACTTACCTTTACATCCAGACAATACAAATATCCGTCATGCGATCCACAAATGACAAATCCAGTATGATCATCCACCACAGGAGAGCATTTGACCATATCACCAGTTTGAAACTTCCACACAACAAACCCAGATGTTGCATTTATCACATACAACATTCCGTCATAGCAACCTGAAGTTGGGCACCAGAATAACTTTGTAAATAATATGCATACTTAAAAAATAAACTGGACTACAAGGAAACTTCTTTCTTCTTCTTTTGCATCTGTCTTCACAAGAGTGTTGTCATTTACAGCTAGGCTGTGATATCTGCGCCTTTTGCCTGACACATTCAGTTCCAGCCAAGTCCTAATTAGTCGCCATTTTTGCCGTGTTTGTTGGAGAGGGGGGGGGGGGGGGGGGCAGTGATGGCAGTGGGTGTATTGTTTGGTCTACATAAAAGGGGACCTAAAACACAACCGGGGATACGGCAAGGAAACAAAAACCAGCCACTACAGTGTTAGATAAAGTGGAAATGACAAGACAGTTAATAGAAGTAATTAAAAGAGAGAAAAGTCTAATACTTTGGCTACATTTTTAAAATACATCTACTGCATGTTTCTGTTGTTTTAAGTACAAACTTTTCATGCTGTTGATTTTCTACTGTGTTTATGTTGATCTTAATAACAATTCCAACAATGTTTCCTACACTCTTCTGTTTCTTCTTCAGATACCTGGTCTGCAGCAGGATAGGTAATCACAAATCTCTAATCCTCTCTGTTGTTGGACAATCCGTTCAAGTTTCGTGTTTTTTTTTAATTATTATTTGATTTTTAGTTCTTTAAAAGTTAGCTGCATATACTTTCTTTACAGGTGGTTGCAGAAATAACCACCAAACCCAGCATTTTTGGAGCTATTTTTGTACTTCTACTGGACTTTTGTTTGGTAGTTTGCCACTGCTTTCTGAATGTTTAGCACTCCATAATAAAGTTTGTATGCTTTACAGGATGTTGCAGAACCAACCCCAGCATTTTTTGGCTAGTGCAGTTTTTCTAGGCACATTTTATGTTGAGTAGTTTGCCACTGTTTCTCAACGCTCAGCCCTCGATACTAATGTTAAAACCAACACAAGATAGTCTGCTGCCAAATCCCCTGCTAGGATCAGAGCTGGCACCTCAGCATTATGAAGCACGCTCACCAAGCCTAAGCCACAGTTGTCAAAAACTGTCCCCTTCATCTCTGTTCAGCTTCTGACAAGTGGAAACTGACAAGTAAAACTTACCCACAATCACGTAAGTTCTAGACCAGCTTCTGACAAGTGGGAACTGACAAGTGGAAACTTACCCACAATCACATAAGATCTAGACCAGCTTCTGACAAGTGGAAACTGACAAGTAAATCTTACCCACAATCACGTAAGTTCTAGACCAGCTTCTGACAAGTGGGAACTGACAAGTAAACTTACCCACAATCACACAAGATCTAGACCAGCTTCTGACAAGTGGGAACTGACAAGTAAATCTTACCCACAATCACACAAGATCTAGACCAACTTCTGACAAGTGGGAACTGACAAGTAAATCTTACCCACAATCACACAAGATCTAGACCAGCTTCTGACAAGTGGGAACTGACAAGTAAATCTTACCCACAATCACACAAGATCTAGACCAACTTCTGACAAGTGGGAACTGACAAGTAAAACATACCCACAATCACACAAGATCTAGACCAGCTTCTGACAAGTGGGAACTGACAAGTGGAAACTTACCCACAATCACACAAGATCTAGACCAGCTTCTGACAAGTGGGAACTGACAAGTGGAAACTTACCCACAATCACACAAGATCTAGACCAGCTTCTGACAAGTGGGAACTGACAAGTGGAAACTTACCCACAATCACACAAGATCTAGACCAGCTTCTGACAAGTGGGAACTGACAAGTGGAAACTTACCCACAATCACACAAGATCTAGACCAGCTTCTGACAAGTGGGAACTGACAAGTGGAAACTGACAAGTAAACTTACCCACAATCACGTAAGTTCTAGACCAGCTTCTGACAAGTGGAAACTGACAAGTAAAACTTAACCACAATCACGTAAGTTCTAGTCCAGCTTCTGACAAGTGGAAACTGACAAGTAAAACTTACCCACAATCACGTAATATCTAGACCAGCTTCTGACAAGTGGGAACTGACAAGTGGGAACTGACAAGTAAAACTTACCCACAATCACGTAAGATCTAGACCAGCTTCTGACAAGTGGGAACTGACAAGTAAAACTTACCCACAATCATGTAAGATCTAGACCAGCTTCTGACAAGTGGAAACTGACAAGTAAAACTTACCCACAATCACGTAATATCTAGACCAGCTTCTGACAAGTGGGAACTGACAAGTGGGAACTGACAAGTAAAACTTACCCACAATCACGTAAGATCTAGACCAGCTTCTGACAAGTGGGAACTGACAAGTAAAACTTACCCACAATCACGTAAGATCTAGACCAGCTTCTGACAAGTGGGAACTGACAAGTAAAACTTACCCACAATCACGTAAGATCTAGACCAACTTCTGACAAGTGGGAACTGACAAGTAAAACTTACCCACAATCACACAAGATCTAGACCAGCTTCTGACAAGTGGGAACTGACAAGTGGAAACTTACCCACAATCACACAAGATCTAGACCAACTTCTGACAAGTGGAAACTGACAAGTAAAACTTACCCACAATCACATAAGACCCACACAGACTGCAGCAAGCTGATGACTCAATACGATCTGGCAAGGTCACTGACCACAGACAGCTTCCTGTGAAGATGTCGATAGCACTAAACTGACCGGAGTGGGAGCCAATGTACACCAAGGTGACACCACTGCAAGAGAAACAATGGATTAGACCAGAGTTACAACTCAGTCTCTAGAGGAGCAGTTCTCAACCTGCCGGCAGCGACCTTTTTTTTTTTGCTCGAACTACCATTTCACAGGGGTCGCCTATGACTATAGGAAAACACATATTCAGTGAAGTTATGAAGAAAAATAATTGATTGTGGGTGGCCACAACATGAGGGAACTGTATTAAAGGGTTGCGGCATTAGGAAGTTTGAGAGCCCCTGCTCTTGGGTAGATACAATCAACCCTACACAAATCTTAGACTGAAGGTGGCAGGTTATCCAGATCAGGGTTTCTGTCACTGCATCTCTGGAGACAACAAACTAAAGATTCCTGACAGTACATGTCATTTATCTGTGGAGTACAGTACAGGCAGGGGTCACCACGGCTAGATGTTCACCTGCCAGCCTGAGGGTCTTCGGTTCGACTCCACACTGAGCCAAATGTTTTCTTTAAAAAAAAAAAGAAACTTGGCCCAGACTAAATTGGTTATAGTTAATACAGACATAAGACAGGTGTCTTACATCAAGTTAATACAGACATAAGACAGGTGTCTTACATCAAGTTAATACAGACATAAGACAGGTGTCTTACATCAAGTTAATACAGAAATAAGACAGGTGTCTTAAATCAGGTTAATACAGACATAAAACAGGTGTCTTACATCAAGTTAATACAGACATAAGACAGGTGTCTTACATCAAGGTAATACAGACATAAGACAGGTGTCTTACATCAAGGTAATACAGACATAAGACAGGTGTCTTACATCAAGGTAATACAGACATAAGACAGGTGTCTTACATCAAGTTAATACAGACATAAGACAGGTGTCTTACATCAAGGTAATACAGACATAAGACAGGTGTCTTACATCAAGTTAATACAGACAAAAGACAGGTGTCTTACATCAAGGTAATACAGACATAAGACAGGTGTCTTACATCAAGTTAATACAGACATAAGACAGGTGTCTTACATCAAGGTAATACAGACATAAGACAGGTGTCTTACATCAAGTTAATACAGACATAAGACAGGTGTCTTACATCAAGGTAATACAGACCAAAGACAGGTGTCTTACATCAAGTTAATACAGACAAAAGACAGGTGTCTTACATCAAGGTAATACAGACATAAGACAGGTGTCTTACATCAAGTTAATACAGACATAAGACAGGTGTCTTACGTCAAGGTAATACAGACATAAGACAGGTGTCTTACATCAAGTTAATACAGACACAAGACAGGTGTCTTACATCAAGGTAATACAGACATAAGACAGGTGTCTTACATCAAGTTAATACAGACATAAGACAGGTGTCTTACATCAAGGTAATACAGACATAAGACAGGTGTCTTACATCAAGTTAATACAGACATAAGACAGGTGTCTTACATCAAGTTAATACAGACATAAGACAGGTGTCTTACATCAAGTTAATACAGACATAAGACAGGTGTCTTACATCAAGTTAATACAGACATAAGACAGGTGTCTTACATCAAGTTAATACAGACATAAGACAGGTGTCTTAAATCAGGTTAATACAGACATAAGACAGGTGTCTTACATCAAGTTAATACAGACATAAGACAGGTGTCTTATATCAGGTTAATACAGACATAAGAAAGGTGTCTTACATCAAGTTAATATAGACATAAGACAGGTGTCTTACATCAAGGTAATACAGACATAAGACAGGTGTCTTACATCAAGGTAATACAGACATAAGACAGGTGTCTTAAATCAGGTTAATACAGACATAAGACAGGTGTCTTACATCAAGTTAATACAGACATAAGACAGGTGTCTTACATCAAGTTAATACAGACATAAGACAGGTGTCTTACATCAAGTTAATATAGACATAAGACAGGTGTCTTACATCAAGTTTATACAGACATAAGTCAGGTGTCTTACATCAAGGTAATACAGACATAAGACAGGTGTCTTACATCAGATTCTGTCAACTCTACCAAAAAAAAAAAAGACCCAGCTAATGCATCAGATCTAGACAAAGTACACCTCCATACATAAAGTAAAACCTTGTATCATGGAAACCAAGGGATTGAAAACTGAGTCTGCGTTAAACAAATCTGTGTTAATTGGAGACCAACAATAAAACATCCCTGCTAGGACTAAAATGTTGATCTTATCTGAGTGCTCCTCTCAATTGATTCTGTGTCTCTCCCGGCCACATCCCCATTCTTGTGATTATTTCATCACAGAACTAGTTTTGCCTTCAACATTTTCTACGCAAATCTCCCATTCAAACCTAGATTCCACACGAGCACCTATTCTCATGTTTTCCACTTTGATGGAATTTTTAATGTTACACCTTTATTCAGACCTACATGAAAATGTTATAATACTATTTATTTCAAATACATATTTGGTTTAATAAATTTCAAATGGGATTTGGATCCCAATATAAATTGGTCGGGTGTCGCTGTGGCGTAGCAGCTAGGCACTCGCTTGCGGGCTGGAAGGTCGTGAGTTCGCTCTCTGGCGGAGCCGGACTTTTTTCTAAAATGACCTTGACTCTCGGGTCGACCCAGCCTTGAGTGGGTACCGGGTGCAGTCTCGGGAAGTAAAGGCGGCCGGCATGATGCTGACCACATCACCCATCTTGTGCCGATTGGTCTGTAAAAATATAGGTCTAGCCCTATATGCCTAAAGGCCTGGAAAAGGGACCTTTACTTTTAAATAAATGGGTCTGCATGATATGATGCCACAGCCGAGCTGTACTTTTACATATTCTGACTAAACAATGAACAAACGACTTCTCACCCTTGTTCAACAACCAAAGGTGATGCATCGACACATTTCTTGGTATCAAACTTCCATGTCAGTGTCAGCTCAAGAACTGTCTTCAGTGTTTGTGTGAGACTCCCACCTACTGTAGCATTAGATTCCATGGCATGACAGTGATAAGCCTTATATTCACAGGTGTCTGATGGTATACTTGTAGTTAACCTTCTGGATGGTTCTACACCAGGTGTGCTGCCACCTTTTTGTCTCACTGACCCCCGAGAGATTATCCTTATTGGTGAATTAGAGGTTACTTGTCTTTCAGCACTGTCATCTGTAGCAGTGCCAGACTCTGAACCATCTTGTTGACTATTCTCTCTCCCTTGATGTTTATGTGAGCTTTCCAGCAATGTCCCTGAAGGCAACAAATGATCTGTGTGACTTAGAGCAGTGGCATCAGCATCAATACCTAATTCTGGGTTGCCCTGTCTGCTGACTAGCCTTTTCTGATGCATAGATGAACTTCTGCTGCATGTTCCTACAGGCAATATCAAACCTTCCTGTCTTCTGAGAGCTGCATCCACATCCCAACTTAACCCTGGATTATCATCTTCACTTTCCAGCTTGCCGAGAGCTTGAGATGAATGCCTAGTTTGAGCCTCCACAGTCACTGTAGAAGCCTCTGGATATTTTTTAGCACCATAACTCATCCCTAGATTTTCTTTGTGACACTCCGGCTTCTCCTGACTCTTAGATGAAGCATTACTGTGAGTGTCCACCAGTGACTGGCGATATTCATGAAGCTCGCTTAACAAGGGAAGCGACTTAGCCAATGCTGCTGTCGCAGATGGTGTAGACATATCTGTAAGTTTTGCCACTTTACTCCCCGTCCATCCATCAGCTACGGCCTGTTTATGCTTCGGAGTCTGCAGCCTCTTGTTATATACACCTAGAGAATGAATATCTTGCTTTGCCCCATTAACAGTCTTCTCTCCAGCACTCGTATCATAGTGAACACTGCTGGTTACATTATTGCTGCCCAAACTGTCGCTGGCAAGTCTGCTTGCTCTCAGAGGTGTCTGTGTCCAAGAGGTGTCAGATAATCTCAGGCTAACATATCTCTGGAGCTCCTCCACAAAATGCCAGAACTCCCTGTTAACTAGGACATCCAGCAGGGAGGGCAGACTGCAGCCAAAAAGGCTCTCCAACTGATTAATGACTCTCACAGCTGCCAAAGAATCACCACCAAGAGATATGAAGTTGCTTGTGTCCTGTATGGCCTCAGGTGGTGCTGGCAGATTTACCTGGGTTAAAAAAAGGACACATTTAAAAAACTATGGTTTATTTTTTAGTTTACCGCAGGTGGCAGACAGTTTAATTCAAAATACATTCACACTTCAACAAAGTGTGTTTTACAAAGAAAATGAAATTGTAAACTTCTTAAAACATCCATAGTGGTAAAGAAACAGTGGGCCTGTTTACCAAAACCATAGTCAGAATTCAACCTACAACTTTGAAAAGATTCTTTCTACTGATCAGCACAGATCCAGGGCTGACCTAGTCTCATAAAATGGACACTGGATAATTGCGAGATGTTTCTGAGAAGAAAAAGAAGCTAGGATGGCCCGCAAGGAAGGGGACTGGCTACTCCGACCTCATACTGCCAATGAAAATGTGAAGGTCTAACATTTGATACTCTAACAGTAATATCTGCTAAAGGGCCCTCCTGAACTTCAACAGCCTAGTTACTGAGATACCTGAGGAGTGGCCAGCAGAGGTTAGAATACTGGGCTGATATGTGAGAGATCTGGGTTCAAATGTAGGGTAGAGTGTTTTTTTGTTTTTTTCTGTCAGGGGCAAAAACAAATATCCCAACACGTAGAGCAACTAAACAAAAGTAAGGCAGCTCTAAATCCTCAGGCTTAAAACAGCCCCCTCCCCCCTTCCCCCCCTCTCTTTCCACTTCTTTTCAACTCCTGCATAGCCATAACAAGTGGTCAATACAGACAGTAATGAGTTTGAAAAAAAAAATATATCCAACTGTCTTGTCAGTCTAGTACTGGATTCTAGTCAGACAAATGCCTTCTGACTCAATACACCAGGTCTCCGCGTAGGTTCCGGGGCCCCAGTGTGGGGAAAACAAGAATAGACTGCCTCCCCAACAAGCATAAGTCTGTATACGCATGAGTCAGATGTGTAAAACAGATGTGCAGGCAATACTCAGGTTTTGGAACAGGACTACAGTTCAGAAGTGGACAAACAACCAGAACTTTCCACTGGAGTTTACAGCTGGTGAATGTAAAGAAGAAAGAAATGCTAATGTATTAGGTGTTTTATGGTGAGTACCAACACTTCTTTTTGAAGAAAAAAAAAGCTCTGCATAAAGGTATTCATTTAAATGAATTGTTTATTGTACCATCCAGTTACAACATTATCCTAAGAAGAGGAAATCCAACCTGAAAATGTTACGTTATGGCAGGGCAGACCAGGTGTGTTGCATGGATGGTGCAAAGCTGGAAGGGAATGAGAATGAAGGAAACAGTTTTTGCAGAAAGGATGAGAGCTGAGCATCTGAGAAGAAACACACTAAATATATATGATAGCAACATCAGTCCTGAAATTTCCTGCTCTAGCTATGGAAGACTTTTCTTAACACGGGCGAGACTTGCTAGGCACACTCAACTCACCATGGGCGGCGAGTCCCATAAGTCCCAATAACACTATGTTTGGAAAGACGGAAAGGTGCCAACAACAACATAAGTTAAACGAAAAAGTGTTCAGGAATACAAGATAAAAAAATATTACCATCCACACTTGTTGGGATAAATGCTGCACATTCTTGATTTCCAATCCAGCTTTTAGCTCTTCATATCCCATCTTGAGAAGCTGTTTCTTGTCCAGTTTACCTTCAAAAGAGAATCCAATTTACAGCAGACATGGTGGACATCAATTGCATACATGGGATATCAACCACTTAGTCTTAAGTAGCTTTTACTATGTGAATCAGTAATTTCAAACAAACAACTAAATCTACAGTCAGAGGAATTCAATAATGTCAGGCATGGGGACAGAATTCAGTGGGATTTGATATTTCAATATCTAACACCATAGGGATTCAATACTCTGAGGCATGGGAATACAAGTGAATTTTATATGTAAATATAATATATTAAAACATAGATTTTCAACAGTTTGAGGCATAGGAATAAGAATTTAGGTGAATTTGATATGTAAATATTCTACAACATGGCAATGGTGAATATGTAATAACCAGTCTGACTAATATGATCACTGTTAGGAAGGAAAGAAACGGTAAACTACCATCTTCAAAGATGCCAAGCTGAAAAAATGATTCAAAAACTTCAAAAGGGAAATACAGAAGCAGCATATATATAAGGAGCAACACAACAAAAGAAAAAAAAAAAGAATGGGGAAAGGTGGTTAAAAAAATCAGCAGAGGAAAAGATGATGACAATGACAAGATGACATATCTGTCCAAACATCATATACAGTAAACCAGCTTGATAACAAGCACAAACAGAAGACCGTGGCCAAAAACATCAAACATTTCAGAGAAGTGCCCAAACTTAAAGAAATATTTCTTTGTTGAATGACCAAACAATGTAAAACTCACCATTCTGAGTCAAAGGAAAATGCCCAGCTATTTTCACAAAAGTTGTGGGCACATAGTGGCTTGAAAGTGAACCTTGTATATGAGCTGACAGTTTTTGTTGCAAACGGGACCAGCCCGTGTCATGGCTGGAGACACTAAAATTAGCCTCATCTGGAGGTTGATGACCCGCCTGTCTATCACTGACCATGGAAGCAGCCCTGAGGCCGTCAGCAGGCCCTGTCAAATGACCATCTATGGTGGACAAGTCTGGAATTATGAATACCATTAAGTTGGGTTGGTCCAGCACAGCAGTACAGTCAAGGACGCCAGTGACCTCTTTACAGACCTGGGAGATGATAGTGATGGTGATGACGAATGAGTTTCTATATCAGATACTGTTTCATAAAAATGGTGTAGTAGTACAGTAGCTATCATGTTTGCCTGTCTGTCCAGTGGTTATAAAGATATGATCAAATCCCTACTGGGCTGGATTTGTAAAAAAGACATGGAAGCTCCCAGGTCAACTCTGCTTAGAATGGGTATCAGGAAATGTTTTTGGAAGTAAAAGCTGGCGTTGTAATATTAATTTCATCATCCAGTGATTGCCGACTGGTGTACAAAAATATAGGTACAGCTCCATATGATTGGTTTTGAATGCCACAGGAGTGAGATGGTCCCTTATGTCTTTATCTTTTATTTTTTTAACATTGTGTCTATTAGGCCCAATGTATATAGAGAGGAGATTTGCAAAACTTCTTATTCAGTCATTGTAATCAACATGTTTTTATTCAAGGTCTTCTCAACAGGAATCTGACCACTGGCTGGCTCTGGGAGTCTCAGACCACTGGCTTGCTCTGGGAGTCTCAGACCACTGGCTTGCTCTGGGAGTCTCAGACCACTGGCTTGCTCTGGGAGTCTCAGACCACTGGCTTGCTCTGGGAGTCTCAGACCACTGGCTTGCTCTGGGAGTCTCAGACCACTGGCTTGCTCTGGGAGTCTCAGACCACTGGCTTGCTCTGGGAGTCTCAGACCACTGGCTTGCTCTGGGAGTCTCTGACCACTTGCTCTGGGAGTCTCAGACCACTGGCTTGCTCTGGGAGTCTCAGACCACTCCCTTGCTCTGGGAGTCTCTGACCACTGGCTGGCTCTGGGAGTCTCAAGCCCTAACGTTGTTCATTGTTGCCAGGTTTCAGGAAGACTTTAGGAATGGAGTAAAGTTCAGCCTTCACACTGCACAGGTTCTTTTCTTTCGAGTCACTTCAGCTTGTGCAATACCCCAAAACCACATGGAGCCGTGTAGTGAGAGCACGGGGACTGATGAGCTAGATAAATGGCTCCCAAATGGTGGTCTGAGAACCCCCCCCCCCCTTCCCCCGCCCCCAACCCTCCCTTCCAGGGTATGTCTGTCTATATTTGGCAAAATAAAACCAAAAATATCATGTTCAACCAGCTCCTTCCAAAAAAGGAGCTTTGGGTTATAAATGTGACTGTGTTTTCTTGTGCGAACTGTTGTTGGCTGAAATTAGGTTTGTGTGCCACATTAAATGGGTTATTGTCCCTATCCGTTTCGAAGGTGTCCTTTTCTGCTGGTCGAGGTCTGGCCCGTGCTCCTGTTATGGGTTTTATGGTTCTTTTATCTCAGCATCCTGCTGTTGTTCGGACCTTACTGAAGCTTTTATGGTTCTTTGTTATTCCATTGTACTGACTGTCCATTTTGTCTTTGTCCTTATTGTGTGTTAATATCTGTAGTCCAAGTTTCCCTTTATTTCTTGCTCTAGGTTGATCGGGTTGTTGTTCCTTTTTCAGTCGGTTCCTGAGTCTGGCTTCTTCTATAGATTTTCTCTGCCTTGTAGTTCATGTTCCTGTGGATTCAAACTTTAAAAAACAAATGTAAAGGGTCAGTGATATCATTAAGAAAAACAAAATCCCATCAACCCTCTATTTATGTGTGTGTATGTGTGCATGTGCGTGTGTATGTGTGTGTGTGCGTGTGTTATTGTTGAAATTGTAATACACATTTACTCTTTTTTCCCCTTTAAAAAAAAAAAATGACCACTAGAAGGCAGGCGAGGCGACCCATGTAAAGCCTTGGACAAAAAGAGGGGTTTATAGGTCTTATCTAACCGAGAACCGCTGGACTAGACCACTGTTTTAACTGGCCAAGAAAATCTGACATACAGACAATAGGCCTGTGTGTCGTCATGATACAGCTGCCAAGCTCCTGTTTTTTTCACAATCAGTGTTGGCTTCTTTCCCTACAATACACTGTGCTTTATGCAGGCATGAGAGTCAGAGCCTATGGTGATGGTACATATGACTAACCAGATCCACTTGCATTACAAGACCAATCAAGGTGGGGAATTAAGTTCCTCCTCTCCATAATAGCATAATACCTGGGCACAATTGTAGAGATCATATGCTGACCATGCAGCAGGACCTCGGGTCTGCCTTGTTTACTCCAAAGGAAAGATAACACCAACGCACTTGACACAGAGCAGACTGCAGAAGCTACCAGGATCTAACTTGTGTTTAATTCCTTACTATGAAGACAAGTTAGTTGTGTGTCTTTTATATAACACTGCAGAACCAACCCCACAAGTTTCTGACTGTGATTTTCCTATGCAATTTTAAGTTCAGTAGTTTGCCACTGCCTCTGAACGGTCAGCTCTTTGACAACACTGTCAAAACTTAAGCAAGTCAGTCTACTGCTAAATCACCTGCAGCTGGGATCAAACCCGGCACCTCGGCAAAGCAAATTTCCAACGTCTAAGCTGCAGATGCCGACCCCTTCTATGAAGCAAACAAACATTCCGCTGTTTACAAACTCACCATCTCTAGAGCCTGCAAGCTGAGACGTTTCCCATGTCTCTTGACCTGATTATCTCTTCGACCCAAGCAGAGGATTCGGCCATCTGGCAGTAGTCTTCCTCTATCTCCCGTATTTCTCCAAACAACTGGGTTTCTGTCGGTCGTCTGGCTGTTACTGTCTTTCTCAATGTTATCACAGACGTCAGCATCAACCTGGACATACTCTACTGTGACTTCCTGGTGACAATAACAATACAAACTATGGTAAATATATCCTCTAACAAAAAAATTGTATCAAATAACCCCTTCAAGCCTAAATAAAGTGTGATATGTAGCTGGTGCTTCCCTGCGCATGTTAGCTATCATGTAATATGTTCCCACTCTTTTTTAACATTTGGTTACAGTATACCAAGAAATCTGGCTTCCTCAGGGTCAGAACCACCACAGATTGTTTAAGGTTTTTTTGGTTCTGGGCTGGTCTTAAAACCTGGCAACCTGGCATCCAAATAATTCTAGAGCCACATATCCACAGTCAGGTCAACAGGAACCGCTCAGCTGTTTTTTTTTCTTTTCTGTTTCTGTTAATGGTTCCTTTTGCTGACAGTAAAGTGGTAGATTCAGTCTTTTTTAGCAATTTTTTATTACAAAAAAAAAATGATGCAAACATATCCGAACCCATCACTAGATCACTAGTCAGTCACTACGAGTCAAGTTAGAGCTGACTTACCTATCCAAATATCTCCTTCACCACCAGAGCATGTAGTTGTTGCTGCCACAGCTTCATCCACTACCAGTTTGATGAACGTCTCACTAAGGGCTTCTCCTACTGATACCAGCTCTTCTTTTTCACTATCAGATGGACAATCATGATAACAGATAGCAATAAGCAATGACACATTTGTGTTAAATGATTATTTCCCTTTATATGAAAATAACTTTTGCGCGCGCATGCACACACACAAGCACACACTCGCGTACGCACACACACACAAAATATAAATCTGACAAAACCATCTTTTTTCGTGACATGGTTGCCGTGATGATGCAACAACTAGCAGGCATGCCTGTTTGCTCGGTGGTCACAGGTTTACCAAAAAAAAAAAAGAGCAGACATAACTATTACCATCATGTAACAAGTGCTTTGCAGAACGTCACTCTCACCACGGTCTGCCTAAAGAAACTATTTCTCGTCAGCTCTTCCACCTAGTACACTTTCCAACCTAAGATGTCACTTATGTCCTGTGCCCATCTTCATGCTGGTCAGCCCCTGCCCCTCTTTCCTGGTATCACACTTTCAGCTATTTGTTTTCTCAAATCTGCTGTGGCGCTTAATATGGCCAAAATATTTCGGTTAAACATAACAATGCTACAGGTAGACAAACAAGCAGAAGAGACTCACATTACTGCCCTAACATCCACATGTTGACAGGAAGCCCAGCAGGAAACCTCCGTGATCCCATACAGGTTATAGAACTGAGTCTTCTTGTTATCTGCATGTACCCAACTGGCAAGACTGGCTCCAGGTGGGAACTGCTCACCTCCAAATGCCAACACCCTGAGAGCTGTGGCAGGTCCAAGCAGAGTGTTCTGTATTCTGGATGGAGGGAAGCTTCTAATTAGAGTTGGGGTTGCCTGAAATATAACAGAGAGAAAAAAAGTGTCCTAAGGTTTATGTCCTATTAGAATATCAAAGATAGAGAAGAGGAATTTTTTTCTCAACTATGAAGTCAAAGGATATTAACCCTAATAATTTCTTTAAAAAGCCTTTAATAAGCATGCTGTAAGAGGTGACTAGCTATGGGTGTTTTCTTCGAAGTCGGAGTGCATCTGCCTAACAGGACTAGCCATGGGTGTTTCAGGACAGGAACTAGCTATGGGTGTTTCCTTTGAAGTCGGAGTGCATATGCCTAACAGGAACCAACACTCTGAATACAAAATAAGCCAGATCTGTAAAATGAATGAGCATGCAAAAAACTCAAGTTCTAGAAAAGACCAAAGTCAAGAACAACCAGAACTTTCCGCAGGAGTTTACATCCACTGTACGCTAAAAAGAAGAAAAAATCTGCGTGTGTGAAAAATAATGTCATCCACTTTCAAGGCAGGATCTGGTCCTGCGATGCGAATAGGACCCAACATTAGAATATACGTGTTAAATGAAGTTATTAAATCTGTGTGCTTTTGTGTATTCTTTATTTTCTGTGTGTGCCCTTAAAATAAGTCATTTTGTAATTTTCTCACTGTTAATTATTGCTCTGATTTGTAAATGAGCTTAACTAGTAAGCCTAAATTATGTGCCTGAAATTGGTTGAATGGTATTGACTACCAAGTATAATGTATCCGGGAACAGGATTGAATAATGATAAACTTGAGACAAGTGTGTTAGTTGGCTGAAAGGGTGCCAGATGAGAACGAACATGAATCATGTGTGGAACTTTTGAGAACCTGAGAGGGAAACAGATTATTTAAAGTTGACATGATAGCGAAGATCAGTCTTCTTTTCGAGGTTGAGAAAGCCGGGTCAGATGCTGCTTGAAGAATGAAAAAGTAAGTGAATTGTCAGAGAATGTGAGTGTTTGATTGGCAGCCAACTGAGCAGAAAAACCTGACTATCCAGTTCCGAACAAATGGATGAGTAGGTGAGTGTTTCTGCTCAAATATATGTCTGATAGATTTTGACATGTCTACGGTTGGAAGTGCTGTGTTTTGTCATCCTGGAAATGTAAGGCTGAGTTCACTGATGTCTTGTTTGTACCCAATCTGGTCGTCCTAGATGTTTATGCCTCTGGTGCATCAACGGAGGAAGCAGTTGCTGGAACCAATAAACATTTCATATTTGACCAGCAGTGTGGCGTTTCCAACGTTCGTTTTCAAAATGATTTTAAACAATCTGTGCCTGAGAAGGCTGCATGTGACTAGAACCTCTGAGAGTCATTGCAAGCATCTGTGGTGTGGTTTACAGCTAGATTGCGATGTTTGCATCTTGTGACCCAACACAGCTGATTTCAGCAAACCTCTAATTAGTTGTTTTTTAGGACATGCTTGTCGAGGGCTTACAGTCGACCCCCTACCCCTTTTTTGTTTCTTCCCCTGGTGATCCCCGGAAATTGCATGGGAATGTTTGTATCTGTGCGTGCATATTTGTGTTGTGTGTATGAGAAGCCACCGTGGTGAAACGGCTAGATGCCTCGCCGTGATCTGAAGGCCCTAGCTCCAAATCCTTTTGGACTCAGGCTTTTTCTAAAATGATTGGCTGCCAGGTCAATCGAGTCTTAATCGAGTACCTAATAGAGTCCTAGATGGTGAAGCTATTCAGCACGATGCTGACAACATCAGGCACCAAGTGCCCACTGGTCTATAGTGTACAGGTCTAGAACTATATTGTACGTGTGGACAATGGTATTTTTTACATTTTTATATGTGTATGTATTCGTGTGGGATAATACACCTATGACCATGATGGCCAGACACCTTTCACAGTGCTGCCCAACTGATAATAATAAACACAAACAATTATGGTGCCTAGTGTCTCCCACCAAAAGATACAAGAATCTCAGGAACCTGAAACTAACATCTCAGTGCATTAACTCCATAGCATCAACAAGGAATACCACATGTCAGTAAACCACATATAAGTAAACCACAATCCATATACACTACACATTTTCTGTTTTAGGGATTTTTTTCATTTCTTTACATTTTGAAAATTCAGTTTTCCTATAAAAAATGTAAAAAATGTGGACACTAATAATACACTGCACAATTAAGTGCTATGCACATTTTGCTGTATCTCATCAGGTGCGTTACTAAACAGTTGTATAAACATATTATAGGGAAAACAAGAATAGACCCTCTGCCTACCCAAAAGCCTGTCGTAAGAGTCGACTAATTGGGAGCTTTTTTCGAAGTCATAGTGCATCTGCCTGAGTGGCAAGGAACCAGCAATCTGCATACAAATGAGTCAGATCTGTAAACGGATGTACATGCAACACTCAGGTTCTGGAACAGGACTGTAGTCCAGAAGTGGATGAACAACCAGAACTTTCTGCCAGAGTTTACAGCTGGTGAACACAAAGAAGACAAAGAAAGCACACACACACACACAATTCAATGAAATACAAATAGTCTCTCTCGATAAATTGTGTTCAGCTAATCACCATGAGTTCACGAAAATCTGGACATTTTGCCAAGCCAGTTGCCACACAGCTGACTCTCTTGAATTTCCAACATTATCCAGCAACTACAGGAATAAAACAACGGTAGTGGCCTGACCTGCATAACCGTTATTGCTTGTCGGAAATGTATAATGTCCAAAAGTTTCTCCGGCCTGCGCTTTACTTCAGCGGGGACAATCAGCAGACAAGCTCCAGACGACAAGGTGCAAAATATGTCAATGATGCTGGGGTCAAAGGTCAGAGGTGACGTCAGAAGTACTTTGTCCCCGATATTGAGCTGGAAAATGTTTCTGAAATAAGTATAAGAATTACCAGTATGATCTTTACATTAATCACTGGATGATTTGAAACTACAAAATGTGCTGATAATGCTGAAGTCAAAGTTCAGTGATGATATCTGTAGTAGTCCATCACCTTTTTCTGCCATCTATCCCCCAGTGCAGCACAGGAAACCAACTCATACCAAGTCATTCTGTTCCTTTGCTATTGCATGCCGCTCACCCCATGTCCTCCTCATCATTTTAACTTCCCTCTCTAACTAGTCCACGACCTATACCTTAAAAATGTGTGTTTTTAAAAACTACCTTAGGCTCTCATCCTTGAGAGATGAATACCACTGAAAACACAACGAGTTATTGGCTGTTCTGTTAAGATGATGTTGAAGATGAGGATAACAAAATCTGTACCCACCTGAGATCTATAATGTTGGGTACAATGCAAGCATGAGGTACAAGGACCACTTTGGGAGTGCTTGTAGTGCCAGACGTGGTGATGCTGTAGGCTAGGTTAAACTGCTGGCCTGTGGACACTGATGACACAGAACTGGGAACAATCTTGTAGAGCTGCAGCCCATGCTTGCTGAGATTATCTGATGGCACTTCAATTCCTTCAAGTTGGGTCAACAAGGGTTTTAGCTGCTGCAGAAAGACAGAGACAAAGTAATAAAGGATGATTTTCATGCCATGACGGTTTTGTCCTGACCCACAAAGGACTGCAGGTGACACCTGGCTTTTGTAACTGTTATGGGCGCCCTAATTATAACTTCCTTTAAAGCTGAGTGGGGTATCTGGTTGCTCTGCCATTCAGATAAAGATTTATGAATCTCAGGATGATATGGTAAACCTTAAGCTAGCTGCGTGGAAGGGACAAACTGATCTATTGATGCCACGAGGGGTGTAAGGTTTTTCTCTATTTTTTCAGACCGGGCAGCATTTTGCTGGGATATTTAAAGTGTGTATAACATTTATCAGTCTCCTGTATTAGGCTGTTATATTTTTAAAAGGATTTTTCTGGCATCCCTCTCTCTTCTCCCTTTCACACACTCATCCAAATTACACATGCACACACTCATGCACGCATGTGTGCACACCCACGCAATCGCAATCACTCTCTCTCTCTCTCTCTCTCTCACGCAGGCACACACACCTATGCAATCGCAATCACTCTCTCTCTCTCTCTCACGCAGGCACACACACACACTCTCTCTCTCTCTATTTTGAGAGTTTCTTGGGCAAAAGGGTTAGGCTTCGCAGAAAGGTATTTTGCAGAGAGGTATTTCATTGAGCTAGTACAGACTCAATCCTGGGACTGAGTCTCACTATGACTATGTCTTCATAATCAATGTGATCGCCAATGGGGAAAATATGTCACTGGTGCTTTTATAAATTTAACCAACAGTTTAGTCAATCAAACTGGAACAATTGGTGATACAATCAGGTTTCTTCTGCCTCACACTTGCAACCTATACAAACAATATCTGAACAAAGTACCTTTGATAACTGTGAATGTGCAAGAATCCACGATGCTCTAGCTTGTCTCAAAGCTTTACATGTATAGTTTAGTCCCTCGATGTTAAATGGATGAAACGCACAAGAGCTGGATAAAAGCCTGAAATAGGTGTGAAACCACAGTAAGTAACAAAATTATCATAGACTAAAGTATGTAAAAGCACAGTAGAGTCAGTTAAGAAACAAATCTGGCATAGTCTAACGTAGGTATAAAAGCACAGAAGAATAGGATAACAAAACAAATATAAACTAAAGTAAACATAAAACCACTGTAGAACTGGTTAACCAACAAATAGTATCTTGCACAAAATATGGGCCCAGTTAACATGAACAGGAATCTAAATGTGTGTATATGAGAATCAAATAAACCAGGAATATTCTTTTACAAGTAGATTTTCTAACTCTGAAATTCAGACATGGCAGTGGCCTACTTTTTTTTTTAAACTTTCAACAGCCATATGCACATTTTTTTTTTTAATCAACAGCCATATGCACATTTTTTTTTAAATCAACAGCCATATGCACATTTTTTTTAATCAACAGCCATATGCACATTTTGTTTTTTAACATTCCCAGTTTTCACACTCCTAGATTTTTGCCTTTTTCTGAGACATTATGTCCGATCCACTGTGCTAGGATCAAGGGTGGAGTTTACCCTGCTTGTCGTAGTTTGCTGACATCTGTACTGTTCGTACTATGAACTGAGTTAGAGGCAGACTTAATACCTCAAAGACACAACACTCTTGAAAGTCTAATAATCATCGTCAACATAGAAAGGTTCTTTGCAGAATGTTGCTGTCATCACGGCTCGGGACCGACTCTCAGTCCCTTGATAATTATCTGACCTTGTGTGTGTGTGTCCATAGGTGCATGTCTGTGAGTGTGTGTGTATATACAACTGCATAAAAAATAAGACAAGAAAGTGTTGCAGAATGTTGCTGTCATCACGGCTCAGGACCGACTCTCAGTCCCTTGTTAATTATCTGACCTTGTGTGTGTGTGTCCTTAGGTGCATGTCTGTGAGTGTGTGTATATATAACTGCATAAATATAAGACAAGAAAGTGTTCCAGAATGTTACCCTAAAAGTACTGCGGGCACATTGATCCCATCCACAAGATAGACACCAACAATCTGCTTGCTGATTGAGAGACTTTCAAAAGCAGATCGGAGCTGAAATATGAAACAGATCAGTTGAGTAAAAGACTATTCCCCATCCTAGTAATCATAGTGGTTATATGGTGCTCTAATGGTCAATATCGTACCTACCACCTTCACTTCCCCCCAAAACTTCCTAGAATCTCTTTTAGGGCCATGCTGGAGGCTGAGATTCCAGGAAAAAAAAATGCAACATAATGATGGTACAAACATGTGATCATCAGGCTGGTAGGCAAGTATAATCAGGTAGTCACAGCTCCAGCTTTGTAGCAAACATGTGACACCAAAGTTGCTACGTTCCTGTGCCGAACGAAAACCACAAGAGATGCCCATCGCTATCCCATCTGAAAAAAAAAGTGGCACAGACTGCAATTTTAGCAAAGCCCATAGCAAACACATGACACACATGCGTTAAATATTATAGGCATCAGAAGTGCTAACACAAACAGTCCAGCATAAGAAATGCAAGTGTGCTACCAATTACTTGGGATATGATGCTAACCCTATGTCTTTGCAAACCAAATAGCTACTGAGAGTGAATTGGTAATTTCAGTGGTCTTTACTTCCCAGAATAGTATCTGGTATTCTTATAAGCTGGGTTATGCTGGAAGCTACTGTGGCGTTCCGATCTCAAGCACACATGGCGTTCCGATCTCAAGCACACACATGGCGTTCCGATCTCAAGCACACATGGCGTTCCGATCTCAAGCACACATGGCGTTCCGATCTCAAGCACGTATAGCGTCATAATTTCAGATGTGCTAGCATGCTTACAAAAGTTCAGACAGGTTTTCTTTGCATGGAATGAGTTGCAGGTGGTGAGAGTCACATGGATATAATACCCAGGCCCTGCAGGTGTGTTTGGGAAAGAGCAGGCAGATATGCTGGCTAGACTGACCTCATCTGGGAGTGTATCAAAGCTGCTCGGTGCACAGGTGATCTCTCTGCCTGCGAGACAAGGTGACAAGTAAAATGGCAGACAGTAAAAACCTGGAGAGAATGATGCCATGGAGAATGCCTGCAGTCTCTGGAAAACTGGCTGTTGAGGAGTTAATTATCAAAAACTGACATGCATGCTCCGTCCTCATCTTCAGCAGCCAGAGCAGGGTTCCAATACTGATGGTACTGGTCACAATCTGGTTATATGTCCGTCTTGCCTTTACTCTTAGTGTAGTGAGCCGGCCAGACCCTCTGGTTACACACAGGTGCCTCATTCTATCCAGGCCATATTAATCTTTTTTCTCTACTGATTGGCTATTGAGGAAGAAGAGCAAGCTAATATTGGCTTGTCCTGCTGGAATGTTAAATCTTTACCCAGACTAGCTATTTATATAAATCCACCTAAATGATTATGAATGAACAAAAAAGAAGAATAAAGGTAACGTGCTCTAAAAGCACAATGAACATGACAATAATTCCTGACCTCCATGGCTTGCTGCCACAACTGAGAGTATGTGATCCTCTCCTGGCTGCCTGCCTCGCTATGCCCAGAGTCGAAGATAAGACACACTTCATCTGGATGTCTCGTAGCACATTCAGCAACTAGATCATGCAACATTGTACACCTGCCACCTCCCTCCGAACAAGCTATGCTGGAGATGAGAAAGTAATTTTACAATGAGTATGATTGAATTTAAGGATCTATACACATGGGTGAAATCTGCCAGAAGATGTATCATAGAGATAAAGAGCAGATTAGGACAGGCTAAAACTGCATTATATAAAATGAAAAACAATTTATGCAAAAAAAAAAAAAAAAAAAACTCTGGAGGGTAGAAAAAGAATTCTTGCATGCTATATACAGTCAGTTTTAACAAATGGCGGTGTTTCACAAGCAATTAATAAATCAGCCAAACAACTTCTTGAGACCTTAGAGATATGTTTTACAGAAGAATGCTCATAATTCTTTGGACAGCCAAATAAAAAAGTAACCAGATGGTTTGAAAGAAACAAGGGTTCAAACTAACTGCAAAAATAAAAAAGAGACAGTAAACATTTTTTGGACAAGTTATAAGAAGAAGGAAACTGGAACATGCTGGACCATTGGACAGATCTGTGGAAAGAGAGACAGAGAAAGATGAGAGAAAGTTCTGGAAAACCTTCTGTCATGGCATGGATATTAGTTCACACCATGACTGATAAATGCTGTTGAAGATCCCTGATTGTGAGAAGCATGATCGCCCAGTCGGTAAGGAACTTCATGATTTGATTTATTAAATGACAAGTATTCTTTTTAGCATTAAGTGGCAAGACATGATCTCAAACACCGAGGTATTGGAAAGAGCAGGTATTACAGTTTTCCTTTGAGGACATCCTCTATGGTGAATTAAAGATAGGTAGAAGACGTTGAGGCCAGTATTTACTATGGTACAATGATGTGTGCAAGCAAGACATGAATGATACAGGTATTGAAGTAGCTTTGTGGAAACAAAATGCCATGGACTGTGTTGTGTGGTGGGACAAAATCAGGAAGGAAATTAGAATAAAGGAAGAAACAATTGCAGAAAGGATGAGAACTGGGTGTCTGAAAAAAATCACATCACACACAAATGATGGCAACAATGATACTGAAATCTCATGCTATCAGTGTGAAAGACTTTTCTTAACATGGGCGGGTCCTGTGAATCCCATGCCTCCTTATTGCACAATATAGCACTATTGTCTGGAAAGACAAGAAGCTGCCACATAAATATATGTTAGAGTTGCATAATTTAAAAGTAGTTTTGAAAATGTGGCTAAAGTGATCAAGAAGTAAAAAACTAATATTTAACTTTGTAATGTAAAACAATTATGCCCGGGACAATTTTCAACAAAATCAAGATATGATGTCAATGAGCCAGTGCACTTATATACCAGCTAACACCATTGCCGAGACATCCAGACATATGTATAAGCGCCAAGAAACTACTACTACACATGAAAAAATCCGAAGTGAAAGCAAGAGGCCACCCTTGCAGAAGAAGGATTTATGACATTAAAGGGGTTCTTTGTTGATATATAGAAATACAAAAGCCACTGCTGCCCATCAAGCACTGGACCGCAAGCTTTATCTCCGCCCCCCCCCCCCCCCTTTCCGAATTACCTAATGGCCGAAGTGGAAATTATTGATAATCATGATGATCAAAAGATGGACGAACAACAGACTGGGAGTTTGTAGATCCAGGCTAAAGACAGCTGACTAGGTCTGCTCTGCTATGAAAAAATCGCCATGTTCAACCAGTATCCTCGAAGGGGAAGTTTAGGTTATAATTGTGACTAGGTTATGTGCACCATATAAAATGGCTAAGCATTGCTCGCCACCAAGAAGCTCTGAAAAAAAGGTAGGTAGGTTAGTTGTACCCCACCAGGACATCATACAAGAGATAAACACCCGGTGACATAAAGTGCCACCATGTGGATGAGGATTACCCGTGGAGAGGTCCCAGAAACCCCTTGCAGCCGTTTAGCAATATTTATGGCTAGGCCACATCCCCAAATCATTTTTAGAGGCCTCAGAGATGTGGTTTTACAGAAGAATGCTTAGAATACCTTGGACAGCCAAAAAGAGCAGCCAAGAGGTTTTGAAAGAGGCGGCAGCCCGAAGACAACTTATCATAGACATCAGAAGGAGACAGTCATCATTTTTCGGCCATGTTATGAGAAGAGAGGAAATAGAACATGTTGTGACCACTGGAAAGATCTGTGGAAAAAGGGATAGAGGAAGACAACGAGAGAAGATGCTTGACAGTCTTGTTGCATGGCATGGAGGTGTGTCGGCACACGAACTGATACATGCTGCAGGTGATCGCAGATTATAGAGAGGCATGATCGCCCACGCCAGTCGGCAAGGCACCTGATGATGATGATGATGATGAGGCCACATCTATGCCCCAGGCAGAAGCCAGGGTGTGGCTTCAAATAATCCCAAAAAAAATGCATCCCACATAGGGACAACATGATGTGCAAAGGAGACGGACCCACATATATAGTAATTAGTATTAGTATAGAGAGACTACTAGTACTACTATACTGTTAGTTAGTAATGTATTAGTACTTAGGGCTGTCACGGCCGCCGACAAAGTCGCCTACAGGCGAGCCGATGGGCGACCAGGGGGCCGATGAGGCGATAGACGGAGAGTGTTCTAGATCCACTGGAGACAACCTTCGTTGTGGAGACGGCACCTGACTTACTGATTGACTGAGTGTGCGAATCTTGAGCTGTTGTTGCAGACGACAGGACGGGAAGCCGTCGTGCAGATAGCCCAGTCGTGGTTGTGTGCGGACATGTCTGTCTGTTCACACGACTGTCGTGTCCACAGCACGTACTCGGGGACAGGTTGTTGACAACTTTCGTTGAGCCAAGAACCGACATCACAATGCTAGGGACATCCCATAAACTCTTCGTCCCCATCGTCAGCAGCCAGCGCAGAATTATAATTATTATATTCCACTGTTATCCTGACCGACATCATTTCACTCGGGTCATTTCTATTAATCACTCTGTCAGTCTGTCCCCCTCCTTAGCAGCAAACACTACACTACTACTACTAGTAGTACTACAGTCTACAGTTCCAATTCTCATGGTTATGGTATGGTAGTGTACATCTTAACTACACTACCTAACACTACTAATGTTTATTAGCAATGGTATTCTCTTGAACACTACAGTCAGATTGTTGTATGCCTCTGTTTGTGGCTGTTGAGCCTTAGCCACTGTTCTGATATGAGCCATTCTCTTGAACCATGATGATCTGTTTGTGCCTTGCCCTTAGCCTTAGCACTGTTTATATCCAATCCTGAATACTATTATTACTTTCCTACTCCAAAAGGCAAAGCTCATCCCTTGTTTCACCCCAAACTCTAATTTCTGTTTGAACTTTCACCTTGTGTTTTGCATTAACCATGGAAATAGACTGCTGTAATGCCGCAGAGCTGTTAAACTAATTTAAGTCAGAGGAAAAATGTTTAAAAACTCATCTTCATCATGAGCCAAGCCCCAGCGTAGAAAAGATCAATAATACAATGCAGTTAACATGATGGCCACTTGCTATTGCTAGGCAGATCTGGGCCGCCAGTTAGATAGCCCTGCCATGGTGGTTATCAGCTTGGCCGCAGGGGCAGTGGCTCAGGATCAATCACAAGGAGAGGCTACTGTTTTGACCAGTAGGTTCCTGACCTAAAATTAGAAAAGCCCTCCTTAAAAAAACTATAAATGAATGGCGCATGTTTCTTCTTGTAAACATACATTGAGGTTTTCTCTGGTGTCCCATTTTGCGCAGCAAGCTAAGATCTCTGTGGATAATCTTGCGTGACAGTTGAACTTTTTGTTGGTTAAAGGTTAACAAAGGTGACATGTCAGCATTCGGAACATACCCTCAACTCTCCATCAGCATATATCAGAGAGTGGATTCTGCTTATTCTCATCGTTGTCTAAATGCAAGCAACATCTAAGCATCCATGCAATCCACATTTAACACTAGTTTCCATGTGTATCTTATGTTCTGTGCATTTGTCTCATACTTGATGTATCTTCACACATAAATCATTGAACATTTACAGGACTGAAGAGTTATTACTTTGAAAACAAACTGTCCAGTAAAGGCTCACAGGAAGTCAGCTGTTTACCTACATCCGCTAAACAACAGCAATGCTCCAGCCAATAATTCATATTCTCAGTGCTCAGAGGAACATCTTAGCCAGTAGCTCACCTCGAAGAAAACAAATTTTGGAAAATATAGTAAGTAAACTTACAGTGAAAGCGAAATCTCTAGTATATTCAACTAGTATGAACAATTTTGTCTTGTGTTCTAGTGAGACCTAGATCACACATATCCAACAAGAAAAAAAAGATCTTATATTTAAAATGGTTGCAGTATAACTTTGCTATCTCTTAAGGGCTGGCACACACCGGTCAAGCACCAATGCACACTTTTCTTAGTATAGAATATGTTGGTATGGTCATGTATGCTGCATACCAGAAAAACATATTTTAAAAGGCAGTTTCTATGTCTTTTTCTTCTTCTTCTTCTCTTCCACCTTGTACCTCATCGAAGTGTCGGGGGTAGATTTAATGTACGTTAATGAGCTCTGTCAAGAGCACTATTAAGACTGATGTTCATTTCTGTAAGGCTGTTCTTAACTCTTTGAGTCCCAGGGGGTTTAGCATCACAGGCCCAATGGGTAGTAAAAATAGACTAAAATCAACACATCATGCATTCATTGGGCTTCTAGGTAAGAACCTATAAACGTATAATGCGTTCCCTGGGACTCAAAGAGTTAATGCCATCACTCCATATTTCCCAAGGTCTTCCACTTGCTCTATACCCGATGTAATGTTTTAGTGTGGCTCGCTGTGGCAGATAGTACCAGGGCATTCTTGTTAGGTGTCCAAACCACTCTTTTTGTTGTTCTTTGATGACCTGTAAGACTGGCTTTATTCCTAGCATTCGTCTGATTTCCTGCAGCTCTTCTAAGGCATTTCATCTCTGTTGTCACAATTTTACGTTCATTGGAGGATGTAAGTGTCCACGTTTGGCACTGATAGCATAGTGTTGGCCAAAAAATAGTTCTGAAGATAAGATTCACTTTAGTACTCTGAGGTATCTGCTTGTGTGTCAACAAGGGAGATAGTTGCCCCATTACTGATTAGCTTTGGCACATCTGGAGCTAATTTTCTCTGTCCAGTTTTCTGTCGGATGTGAAAATTGCTCCCAAATACTTAAATTCCTCTGTTTGTCTCAGGGTGTTGTTTTTTAATTTTATTTCTAAATTGTCTTTCTCTCTTCCTATCATCATTGTCTCTGTCTTCGTAGTGTTTATTTTCATTTTATATTCCCCCTCTTTGTTACTAATTTGATTTAGGTGGTTCTGTAGGCAGTTTCTGTGTGCAGATGATAAACAGTTGGTAAACTATATTAGCACATGATGAAAATGTTACTGGAAAGAAAAGTGTTCTGACCATGAGGGATGATTGATCTGACCATGAGGGATGATTGATCTGACCATGAGGGATGATTGATCTGACCATGAGGGATGATTGATCTGACCATGAGGGATGATTGATCTGACCATGACGGATGATTGATCTGACCATGACGGATGATTGATCTGACCATGAGGGATGATTGATCTGACCATGACGGATGATTGATCTGACCATGACGGATGATTGATCTGACCATGAGGGATGATTGATCTGACCATGAGGGATGATTGATCTGACCATGAGGGATGATTGATCTGACCATGAGGGATGATTGATCTGACCATGAGGGATGATTGATCTGACCATGAGGGATGATTGATCGTGACCATGAGGGATGATTGATCTGACCATCTGATTGATCTGACCATGAGGGATGATTGATCTGACCGTGAGGGATGATTGATCTGACCATGAGGGATGATTGATCTGACCATGAGGGATGATTGATCTGACCATGAGGGATGATTGATCTGACTAAACTGTTTCATGTTCGGAAAGTATTCTGACATAACTAGAGAGAGGATATTTCAGAATGACAGCAAGAAAGAAGAAGCGAGCAAATAGTCAAAAGTAAATGCCACAAATATAGGCGAAAATTCCTAGAAATATTAGTCCTAAATACCAGCATATTGTCTTATTATTTGACAAGCTTAAACAAAAATTATACAGTAAAACAGACTATTTTTGTTAACTGGATGAAATGATTTTATTTAATAAACTTTGAAGCTGTGATGGCATGGTAGTAAATCACTTGCCAATCAAGATAGGAGACCAGGTTCAGTAGCTAGTCTATCAAGATTGGGGAAGGGGGGGGGGGTTTCAGGTACAAAAGGTAGCCTGTCATGTCAAGATGGGTTAGGTACAATAGCTAGTCTGTCAAGAAAAGGACCAGGTTCAGTTGATAGCGGACACAAGCTTATTTTGTCATGGTCAGTTTAGCTCTAGGGTTGACACAACCCTATCAGAATGGGTCCCAGACATTAAAACAAAATTGTTCAGGAATTAAAGGTCATTTTAAAAAAATTAATAAGAAGTCACCCCATCTTCTATATCGGAGATTGTAGACTAGAATATATGAAAGGCTAACACTTCAGACCACAGTGGCACTATCTGCTTGGAAATTAATTTTATTCTTATAAATTTCAGGGTCTAAAGTTTGAGGTATTGTCATCATCATTTGAGGAAAATCTAGACAAATCACAATACACTCCCTCAGAATATGTTCTAGAAACTGCAAGACTGAAAACCCAAGAGGTAGCAGACAAGTTCAAAGTTAATGGCGTAAGTATGTTTGATTAAAGTTGCCACTGTTTCTGTCATACTTCTGTCTTCCATACTTCTGTGCAGTTGATTGTTCACTCTTCCATACTTCTGTATTGTTCACTCTTCCTTACTTCTGTATAGTTGATTGTTCACTCTTCCATACTTCTGTGCAGTTGATTGTTCACTCTTCCAATTGTGTTCACTTTTCCTGGGTAGGAGTAAGGTTTCAGAATGTTCTGGGAATTGTCTGGAAAGGTGAGGCAGTGAGGAAGGAAACTGACCAGTTCACATTATGACCTATAATGTGTGAAGTGCACTTTTCCTGGGTAGGAGTAAGGTTTCAGAATGTTCTGGGAATTGTCTGGAAAGGTGAGGCAATGAGAAAGGAAACTGACCAGTTCACATTACGACCTATAATGTGTGAAGGCCCAACATTTATACCGAAACATGAGTATTGTCTTTGAGGCTACCTTGAAATTCTTTATATATGTGCGTGTTTTCTGGATTTTGCCAGCACTAATGTTTATTCACTAGTTTTGAATGGAGCAGTCAGGGGCAGGTCATGTGATTTTTCACTAGCAAAGTAACAAAGCAATACTGGGGTATTCTGTTTAAAGTAAAGTTAAAACCTTGATTAGATCTACGATGACATGCTGTCCTAAATTATACTGAATTTATAGTGAAGTTATAACCTTGATTAGATCTACGGTGACATTCCGTGTTGTATTGATCACCTAAATTATTCTGTTTATAGTGAAGTTAAAATCTTGATTAGATCTACGATGATATTCTGTGATGTATTGATCACCTAAATTATTCTGTTTATAGTGAAGTTAAAACCTTGATTAGATCTACAATGACATTCTATGATGTATTGATCACCTAAATTATTCTGTTTATAGTGAAGTTATAACCTTGATTAGATCTACGATGACATTCTGTGTTGTATTGATCCCCTAAATTATTCTGTTTATAGTGAAGTTATAATCTTGATTAGATCTACAATGACATACCGTGTTGTATTGATCACCTAAATTATTCTGTTTATAGTGAAGTTATAATCTTGATTAGATCTACGATGACATTCTGTGATGTATTGATCCCCTAAATTATTCTGTTTATAGTGAAGTTATAATCTTGATTAGATCTACGGTGACATTCTGTGATGTATTGATCACCTAAATTATTCTGTTTATAGTGAAGTTATAATCTTGATTAGATCTACAATGACATACCGTGTTGTATTGATTGCCTAAATTATTATGTTTATAGTGAAGTTATAACCTTGATTAGATCTACGATGACATACCGTGTTGTATTGATCACCTAAATTATTCTGTTTATAGTGAAGTTATAACCTTGATTAGATCTACAATGACATTCTGTGATGTATTGATCACCTAAATTATTCTGTTTATGATTCTTTTCTTCTTCGTGTTCACCGGCTGTCCACTCTAGTAGAAAGTTCTGATTCTTCATCCATGTCCAGACTTTTTTTTTTTTTTTTCTTCACTGAGTTACTATTGTTTTTGTCATTGTTGATTTGAAATGTTGAAGATTATTTTATGTAATTCACATAGCTTTTGCCAGATCTGCTGATTGGGGCTGACACTGTTGTTGCCCAGGACAACCACATCATCGAAAAACCCCAAGACAAAGATGATGCTGTTAGAATATTATCTCTGTAAGTGATATCTTTGAGTATTTTTTAGAAAAGTGTTTTTGTCAGTGGATTGTCCTCACAGTACATCAAGTTTTGTGTGAGTTCTGAGTTAGGAGTTAGATTATCTTCACAGCACTGCGGACACATCCATAGGCGCTCAGATTCCCCTCATAGCATATTCATCAGCATCACACGGTTAATAGTGCTAGTCTTATGTTGGTTAACAAGACTTTCTGTGCGTTCGGTGTGCTTCTCATACTTGGCTGTACTGATCTTTACTCCCAATTTTCTTATTCTTAGCAGTGATGTGGACACGTTGCTTCCAAAATCCTCAGAACGTTCCATCTCTCTCAGGGCAATGACAATGTGTGATCCATGGGCCAGCCATCTTCAATTAATGCAGCACCTGCCAGTCTATCAGCTATTTTATTACCAACAACGCCTGCATGCCCTGAAACGAATATGAAGGTAACTGCACACACAGGAGAATTTTGCAATAACTCAAACCACTGTCTGCGTAACCAGCCTGCCTCGACCAGCCGTATCATGCTCAAAGAATCACTCAGCACACACACATGGGAAAAGTCCTATGATCCCAGCCACATGAAAGCCTGTGTCACTGCCATCACCTCCATCGTCATGCTGCTGGTAGTCATTGAGAAGGCACTGCTGCTTATTGTGAATGTGCATGTGAGAGAGTAAGGAGTGAGTGAGGAGTGTGTTTGTGCTTGTGTGCATACATTTACCATCCTGCTTTTATATTTCTTCCTTGATATTCATATTCTGCATATTGTTATATTGACGAGACATGCTTTATTGATAAAATACAATTGATTTGTGAAAGTTGAGTGCTTGGAAAGGCCAAATGTAAGATGGGCCTGTGTGCCCAATTTGTGATCCTTGAAAATTACATTTGTTTGTTCAGATCTTTTAGTCTGTTAGTGCTCAGTTCCTTTTCTCAGTATTTTCCAACATCAATTCTAATATAAATGAAAAAACAAACAAAATACAGACCCCCCTTTCATGCCAGGGACACATCAAGTTTATGATACTAGACATGTTTTGTACACCAGGCAGCACTCACAACATGTAGTCAACTTCAGGCTGGCTGTCTTTACTTCCCAGGACTTTACCTGGTGCCTATTTTATGGTGGATTGACCTGAGAGTTCTCTGTTTGGGTTCCGGGGCCCCATTTTGGTGGGGGCGGGAGAGGGGAATAAACCCACTTCATTCCAGTCAAGCAGAAGGTGACTAAGGATTTTTTCACTAGATGGAGCACATGTGCCTGAGAGGAACTAGCAGACTGCATACAAATAATCAGATCTGTAAAACCAACGTGCACACAAAATTTAAGTTTCTGGAAAAAGTGATGAACTCAAAGAAGAAAACATGAGAGTCGAGATAATGTGTTAATATGTGGTAAACAGTATAATAAATATCAGTGTGATTAACCGTGTGTTTTCCATGTTGTCTGTATTTGCAGATTGAGTGGTAGATCACACACTGTGTTCACTGGGGTGGTTATATTTGTTCCAGCACATTCCACAGGTCAGTATTTGACTTTAAAAATAAAAATTGTTTATTATCTTGTTGCTGTTCTTTATTTTATTGTAATTTCACCACATGGAGGTTTGAAGATTTCAGGAACAGTTTTAAACACTGCCTTCTGTTGTATCTAACACACTGCTGTCTGTTGAATCTTACTGCCATCTGTTGTATATTACTGCCATCTGTTTAATCTTACTGCCATCTGTTGTATATTACTGCCATCTGTTGTATCTTACTGCCGTCTGTTGTATCTTACTGCCGTCTGTTGTATCTTACTGCCGTCTGTTGTATCTTACTGCCGTCTGTTGTATATTACTGCCGTCTGTTGTATATTACTGCCATCTGTTGTATCTTACTGCCGTCTGTTGTATATTACTGCCGTCTGTTGAATCTTACTGCCGTCTGTTGTATCTTACTGCCATCTGTTGAATCTTACTGCCGTCTGTTGTATCTTACTGCCGTCTGTTGTATCTTACTGCCATCTGTTGTATCTTACTGCCCTCTGTTGTATCTTACTGCCATCTGTTGTATATTACTGCCGTCTGTTGTATCTTACTGCCGTCTGTTGTATCTTACTGCCATCTGTTGTATATTACTGCCGTCTGTTGTATATTACTGCCGTCTGTTGTATCTTACTGCCGTCTGTTGCATCTTACTGCCGTCTGTTGCATCTTACTGCCGTCTGTTGTATCTTACTGCCATCTGTTGTATCTTACTGCTGTCTGTTGTATATTACTGCCGTCTGTTGTGAGTGGGTGAGTGGTCTCTTGTATTCTCTTTTGAGGCGCTGTGATCACTTATGATTGCTCTATTTTGCTTATACTAGTATATGGTGTCCCAAAAAGGGCATGTTAAATTTTTTAATTATCTTTTTTTTTTTTAAAAATGGATATGTATATAATAAACAAGTCTAATTTTTTTTTTTAACAATTTGTCAGTTCTCCCCCGAGGCACTAAAGTGTTAGATGGCAGCTATCGGTGCACAGGTTTCGTGGAGAGTACAGATGTTTTTATGCAGCAGATGAGTCAGGAAGTTATACATTCATATATTGAAACAGGAGAGCCCATGTAAGTATACGTTCATTTCTACATTCATGTATGTACATCTTTACAATCAAGTATGTTCATCTTTACAGTTGTGTATATCTTTACAGTCGTGTATGTTCATCTTTATGGTCTACCAATAATGACTGCAGAAGTTGAGGATGCAATACATCATATGAAGAAAGGAAAAGCACCTGGGCCAGACAACATCTCACTGGAAGAAATTGAAGCACTGGGAGATTTTGGAATTGAAATAATAACTAAACTTTTAAATGATATGAATAATAGTAGGTTTATTCCAAATGACCTTTTAAAATTCATATTTATAGCTCTACCAAAGAAACCAGGCACTTTAAAATGTGAAGACCATCGCACAATAAGTCTTATGAGTCACATGACTAAGATTTTACTGAGAATAATTATGAAAAGAATAAGAAACAAAATTAAACCAGAAATCAGCGATGAACAATGTGGATTTGTAGAAGAGAAAGGTACAAACGATGCCGTATACATCCTAAGGACATTGTCAGAAAGAGCTATAGAAGTAAAGACTGATTTGTACTTATGCTTCATAGACTATACAAAAGCATTTGCCTGTGTGAAGCATGAAGAAGTAATCAAACTGTTAGAAAAATTAAACATTGATGGAAAAGGTCTACGAAAAATAAAGAATATGTATTGGCAGCAAACAGCAGCTATAAGAATTAACAACTGTTTAGGTACATTTCAAAGCATAAAGAGGGGCGTACGACAAGGATGTGTACTGTCACCTGATTTGTTTTCAATATACAGTGAAAATACAATGAGATCTTTAATTGATATGCCCAGAATTGTGGTTGGTGGGCACAAAATAAACAATTTACGTTATGCTGATGACACAGTCTTGATAGCAACAAGTCAGAAAGAACTACAGGAAATGATAGACATTGTGGTGTTAGAAAGTGGAAGAATGGGCCTCAGTTTGAATAATGGGAAGACAGAAGTAATGGTGGTATCAAAGAAACAAATTATTCCTAAGTGTGTAATAAAAGTTGATGGTGTTATTTTAGGACAAGTAGAGAAATTTAAGTATCTGGGCACACGAATAACATCAGATGGAAGATAGATAACTGAGATAAGAAACAGAATAGGACAGGCAAAAACTGCATTTTATAAAATGAAAAACATCTTGTGCAATATAGCCTTGTCATTGATAGTTAGAAAAAGAATTCTTGTTTGCTACATACATCCAGTTTTAACATATGGCTGTGAATCCTGGACAATCGGTAGGCAGGCCAAACAATTTCTAGAGACCTCGGAGATGTGGTTTTACAGAAGAATGCTTAGAATACCTTGGACAGCCAGAAAGAGCAACCAAGAGGTTTTGAAAGAGGCGGGAGCCCGAAGACAACATATCACAGACATCAGAAGGAGACAGTCATCATTTTTCGGCCATGTTATGAGAAGAGGGAAAATAGAACATATATGTGAACACTGGAAAGATCTGTGGAAGGAGGGATAGAGGAATACAATGAGAGAAGATGCTTGACAGTCTTGTTGCATGGCATGGAGGTGTGTCGGCACACGAACTGATACATGCTGCAGGAGATCGCAGATTATGGAGAGGCATGATCGCCCACGCCAGTCGGCAGGGCACCTGATGATGATGATGATGATGTTCATCTTTACATTCATGTAAGTTCTTCGTTGCAGTCATGTATGTTCATCTTTACATTCATGTAAGTTCTTCGTTGCAGTCATGTATATTCATCTTTACAGTTATGTTCATCTTTACAGTCATGTATGTTTATCTTTACAGTCATGTATGTTCTTCGTTGCAGTCATGTATGTTCATCTTTACAGTTATGTATGTTCATCTTTACAGTCATGTATGTTCATCTTCAGTTATATATGTTCATCTTTACAGTCATGAATGTTTCATCTTTACAGTCATGTATGTTTATCTTTCTTCATTGTACAGTGAATATATGAGATTTATCATGGATATGCCAGGAATTGTGGTTGGCGGGCATAACATAAAAAAAATTTGCATTATGTTGATGATACCGTCTTGATGGCGACAAGTCAGAAAGAACTACAGGAATTAATAGTTATGGTGGTGGCAGAAAGGGATAAAATGGGCCTCAGTTTGAATAATGGGAAGACAGAAGTAATGGGGACTCTGTGGGCAGATTTGACCTACAGGACACCAGCCTTCGAATGTGAAGATCATATTACAGTGAGCCTCAAGGGTCACATGACTGGGTTGTTACTGAGAATAGTTCTCAGAGGAGTAAGGTACACAATGTCAGTCTAATTTAATTCCTTTCTTCTCCATCAGGGATAAGGCCGGAGCGTATGGTATTCAAGCAATTGGGGGAACACTGGTGGAAAAAATCCATGGAGATTTCTTTAATGTCATGGGATTTCCTTTGCCTCGGTTTGCTAAGGAGCTTGATTCTATATATAGAAGTCATTAGAATTTTATTATTTTACGTTTAAAATAAATGGAGTGAAAATGATTGATTTATTTGTGTCATTGTGCTTCATTAAATTGATTGAGGTGTTACTTTTTAACTCATCATTATAAGATGGCAGGTCACTGTCATGCTGTCACAATAATCTCCCGACTCTCATTCGTTTGTTAGGTCCCCTGCCTCATAATTGTGGTGTCTCTGAGGCCATTAAACAGCATTAAAAATCTATGGTCAAGCGGCAGCAATAGAATGTTGAGAGCATGCATCTTCCATGTAACAACATATAGATGTGAGCCATGGACTATCTCGTAGTCATTAAGGAAGAAAATAGAGGCTTTTGAAATACTATAGAAAACATTATCAGAATACCATGAAAAAAGAAGAAAAGAAAAAAAACTTACTTACTTAGTCACTCCTCTTCTACCTTAGGGTGTAGAGGTTTGCCAGACAGATCGGAAGACTTCTCTATCAGCAGTTTTCTTTCTGGCTTTTTTCCATTCCAGTCCTCTGTCAGTTAGGGACTGCCAGATGTTGTCTTCCCAGCGGACCCTGGGCCGCCCTGGAGGTCTGGTTCCCTGGTTCTTAGCCTCCCATGTTGCCATGGTGGCCGATTTTCTCCCAGTCTGCATATGTCCAAACCATCGTAACTGTGACTGATCCACTCGGGTTTGTAAGGACTGGATATCAAGATCTTGACGTATTGTTTGATTGCAGACTCTGTCCCTTCTTGTCACTTGGACCACTTTTCTCAGATATCTCATTTCCGAGGCCTGCAGCTGGCTTCTGTGAGCTGTTGTCATTGCCCACGACTCACACCCATAGGTCAGGACTGGTACATAGGTAGAGCGGTCAACAGTCAGGACTGGTACATAGGTAGAGCGGTCAACAGTCAGGACTGGTACATAGGTGAGCGGTCAACAGTCAGGACTGGTACATAGGTCGGTCAACAGTCAGGACTGGTACATAGGTGAGCGGTCAACAGTCAGGACTGGTACATAGTAGAGCGGTCAACAGTCAGGACTGGTACATAGGTAGAGCGGTCAACAGTCAGGACTGGTACGGTAAGCGGTCAACAGTCAGGACTGGTACATAGGTAGAGCGGTCAACAGTCAGGACTGGTACATAGGTAGAGCGGTCAACAGTCAGGACTGGTACATAGGTAGAGCGGTCAACAGTCAGGACTGGTACATAGGTAGAGCGGTAAACAGTCAGGACTGGTACATAGGTAGAGCGGTCAACAGTCAGGACTGGTACATAGGTAGAGCGGTCAACAGTCAGGACTGGTACATAGGTAGAGCGGTCAACAGTCAGGACTGGTACATAGGTAGAGCGGTAAACAGCCATGTTTGTCCTTTTGCTGATTTCTCTTTTGCTAAGAAACCCTCAGTTAAGGCTCACCCAGCAGCTGCTTTTCGTGTAGCCAGCTCGGTCTTAATGCCTCCATTTCGGTCTAAAACAACTCCAAGGTATTTGAACTATTTGACCTGCTCCAGTGCATACTGTCCCATCATGATCTGATGTTTCTTCTCCTCTCTTGAGATCACCATGGTTTTAGCTTTGGAGATACTGATGGTCTTAATGAACAGAAATACTGTCATCCTAAAAGATCTGTACACCAAGGAAGATTGACTAGTAAACAGCATATTGTCTCGGAAACTGACCTAATTTGGCCGTATCAAGTGAAATTGAAGATTGGAAGAAATAATAACAGAAGGCATAGTACCAGTAGAAGGAGGCAGGGCCGGACTAGCACGAAGATGGGCTTGGGATATAAGCAACTCCTTGGGTAGGAAAGTGCACAAGGTGGGAGAGACTGTCCTTCTGCAAAGGGCCTGTTACATGATAGTGAAGAGCCTGGTAGTACACAGACAAGATGGTCGGGGAAAGATGTCTCGGCAAACACAAACCCAACTGGGCCTGATGAAAGACAAGATCAGCTATGCCAGGGATGCTAAGGCTTATTGGCACATGTATCTTAAGGAAATTGAAATGCTGATGGTCAATTCCATGCCATAGGCTTCATGCAAGTTTGTCTTCATTTGTCAAGGGTTACACAGTGACTCCTGCTAAACTGGCTTTTGCTCTTATATGCTTAACTTGGCTGCAGTTTCTCTCATTCTGCAGAAGTAATTATGAACTGCGTGTTTCCTGTGGGGGAAATGGCATGGTGTAGCAGCTAGGCACTCTTTTGCGGATCCACAGATTGTGGGTTTAGGTGCTCGGGGAGCCAGATTTTTTAAAAACCATTGATCTTTGCTCCAAGGTTGACCCAGCCCTAAAGTAGTAACTGGTGAAATCATAGGAAGCTAAGGTGACCAACATGATGCTGATATAACAAAGTTATTGGAATAACAAGAGAGTTGTTGAAAGTTTGTATGTGAATGAAAAGATATAGGAATGACAGATTAGTGAGTGAGAGGACTATCATCACAGCATTCCGGACAGATCCATAGGTTCTCGGATCTTGTCCTCGATAGCTGCACAAGCGTAAAACCACAAACGACGCCTGTTCTGTGGTGATTAATCAGACAACTCTTGCCCTTGTTGAAATATTATTGTGTGGCTGCTCCAGGCTGCACTCCCATATCCATCATCTCCGACACGCTGGTCTTCGCAATATGCATCTCACTTGACATTAATGACATCACTGCTGCCCGTGGCAGGAAAGTCACAGTAACCGCCCCGCCGGCAAGATTAATCTCCTCATAGTAGAAACAGTGGTAGTAGTAGTAGAATAGTAATAATTATTGTTGTGGTTGGCTGAGTTGTAAAAACGTTGAGCTCTGAGTGAGAGATCCGGGTTCGACCACTGGTAAGGTGATGGAGTTTTTTTGTCAGGGGCAAAATTAAACATCCTAATCTGAACAGTTCGTGGCAACAGCATCAGCCAAGCAGCCCTAAATCCTCAGGATCACGGCACCCTGTTCACACTGACCTAAAAAGATGGTAAAACAAGACAGTAGTGACAGTCTTTTAGTTGTTGTGGTGCTGGTGGTTGTAGTAGTACTGGTACTTGATGGGTGATGTGGTAAATATTACACTGGCCGCATTTACTTCTCATTACAATTCCTGCTACCCATTTTAGTCTGTGAGGTAAATTTAAAAAAATCATGGAACGTTAGAGGGAGAGAGGTGTAGTTGGTAGAATTGGGGGGGGGGGGGGGGGAACACTCCTATAAGCACTCCGTTCCTATCTTCAGCAGCAAGCGATGAGTTCCAATTCTGATATCACTTGTAACTGTCTGATTGTATATCCATCATGCCTTTCCTTTGAGTGTTAAGCGTCTGCCAGATCCCCTGGTAATTCCTCGCAGCGCCATTCTCAAACTAATGATCTTTCTGTGTCTGTGCACTGTTCACTCACTTCCAAATGTCCCGCACAACATCTAGCTTGTCATACATCAGTTTACAACCAAGTGGTGCAGAATCAGCCAGTCTATCTGCCTGTTCATTTCCCAACACACCTACATACCTTGAGCCTATCTGCAATAGTAAGCAGTGCAGTTATATATCGCATACATACTCCATAGGTATTTTTTGTACATCCCAGAATTACCCGCATGTGTTCAAGTTTGATCAGCTGACTCTTTAATATGGTAAGCATTCCATGCTCATAATCTATCACTGACAGGGTCACATGCTGGAACATCTGTGAACAACATTCTTTGTTCCATAGCGTTGCTGTTGAGAGCGTTGGTGGCAAGCCCCATTTCACATGATTGAAGCTGACAGGCTGAAGCCCATACCTTTTGTTCTCATTTGAGCTGTTAATAACTGAGGTTTGGAACGTTAGCTTTTACAATTCTATTATCCAGAGAGCACCATGCAACAGAAACCCTTTCTGAGGTAATGACAGCACCCACTTCTCCAAGGCATACTTGTTGAAGCTGGTAGAAGCCATATTTGTTGAAGCTGGTGGAAGGCATATTTGTTGAAGCTGACTGAAGCCATGTTTGTTGAAGCTGACTGAAGCCATATTTGTTGAAGCTGGTGGAAGCCATATTTGTTGAAGCTGACTGAAGCCATATTTGTTGAAGCTGGTGGAAGCCATGTTTGTTGAAGCTGACTGAAGCCATGTTGAAGCTGAATGAAGCCATGTTGAAGCTGGTGGAAGCCATATTTGTTGAAGCTGACTGAAGCCATGTTAAAGCTATTGGAAGCCATATTTGTTGAAGCTGACTGAAGCCATGTTGAAGCTGACTGAAGCCATGTTGAAGCTGACTGAATCCACGTTGAAGCTGACTGAAGCCATGTTGAAGCTGATGGAAGCCATATTTGTTGAAGCTGACTGAAGCCATGTTGAAGCTGACTGAAGCCATGTTGAAGCTGATGGAAGCCATATTTGTTGAAGCTGACTGAAGCCATGTTGAAGCTAGCAGAAGCCATATTTGTTGAAGCTGGCTAAAACCATATTTGCAGAGGCTGGCTGAAGCCATGTGTTTTGAAGTCATGTTTGCTGAAGCTCATGCTTATGACTGCTGAATATGACTGGCCATCATAAAATTATGACCATGCACACACAAGAGACTTACGATAAAGAAGAAATTTCAGTTTGTTGCGTCCTCTCTGAAGTATAACAGAGATGATTTGTCTTGCCTTCAAAGTCAATGACCACTATTAGGCTACTGTTCTTTTTATCTCTTGTAAAGCTATTATAAAAAGTGTTGCTGGTTTGACAAAAGCTTGTATGTATAAATCAGACAGACTGGGAAGAAGCCCATTTGTATAAATCAGACACAGATTGAGGGAAGCCTAAGTGTATAAATCAGACAAATTTTAGGAAAAAACCATGTGTATAAATCAGACACAGACTTGAGGCAAGCCTAAAATCAGACAAATTTTAGGAAAAAAACCATGTGTATAAATCAGACACAGACTTGAGGCAAGCCTAAGTGTATAAATCAGACATACTTTAGCAAAAAACCATGTGTATAAATCAGACTTTAGGGGAAAACCATGTGTTTAAATCAGACTTTAATGAAAACCATGTGTATAAATCAGAC